CTTCACGCGCTTGCAAGATTTTAGTTTTTGCATAAGTTAAAGATTTGGACCATTTTAGATTTTCAAAATCTTCCTTTTGTGCTGTCGTATTAATCTTATCTTGTTATGTTTTGTTTTATGTTGATTCATGTCTGTATTATATATTAAGATTTAATCATGTGTTAGAAAACATATATTAGCCGAAATATATTATTTTTCTGTAAAATCATATATTTTAATTTGGTAATTAGTACGTGTCATCGTCTTGGGAGCTATTATCCCACTTATAGTGGGAAACTTAAGTGGTTGTCTTCACGGTTGCGGCTGGAAACGCTGATTAATAAACAAACAAAAGAAAAAAAAGACTCTAATGAACCCCAACAGGTTTAGATTTCATTTCTAAACTCTTTCCATGTTTAACCGTTCTGCAACCTTTTTCTGGTTCTGCAAGAGATCTATGACCAATGGAGCGAAAGAAAAACTTTGATATGGAATGAGAAATTGAATTATTAGTAGAATAGTGAATCCCATTCATCCCTTTATTCATCTACATTTGAGAAGTGGAACAAAAGGGATAATATTTTAAAAAGTTATGTTCTTCTTTTCCATTCAGAAAATGTGGAATTGTTTTTAATTTTTCATTCAGTATAACTGGTTGATTTTTAAAGGAATCTAATGGATGATGCATTCCAAATAAATCGATTCCAAAAAATGCCATTCCAGTTGCAGCTTTATTGTGGAAATTGGAGTCCAATTATCGATCGTGGGTCCTTTAGTTTCAAAGATATGGAGTATGGACCACAATGGATTTGTTTTTTTTTCTTTCTTTCTTATAAAGTGCAGTATCTGAAATCTTAAGTTGTTAATGGAACGATGTAATTTAGATACTTGACTATAGATGCATTCAATTTGAGAATGTAATATTGGTAATAACTTATCTCCCCTGGACTCTTCTCCTGTTCTTGAGAGCGGCATAAGTCGTCGCTTCACAAGAGGGAAAGCTGTACATAAAGCTCACGTAATGAATCGAAACTATAATCCAAGAATCAATGAATGAATATGAATGATGCTCATCCCTTATGATCATGATAAGCGTTTGGTTGGTTGCAGATCGACATCAGTGGCAGAGAGCGACAACCGTGGACACGTTTTACTTATGGATACCAATAATGAATTTTCATTGAAACTTTTCAAGAAAGTATTTGTCAATCCAATAATGAAATTTTTTTAAAATTTGAAATCACGAGACCACCTCTTGTATTATACGATTTTGGTTAGGAAGTGAAAATACACAAAGGAAACAACAAAGAGAACAACAAAGAGTTGTTGTCCTACAAGTATGGCTCCAAGAAAATCCGGGACCTGTGCAGTAAAAGCCCCCTATATAACAATTTCGTTTTTGCAAACACAAAAATGATTGATGACAAAAGGCCACGTATTAGAACATCCCCGTGATATTTGTGAGGCCAACCTTTTTGTTTTCTAGTGTATCTTGGTCTGCAAATTTTATAAACATTTAGGGTCCAAAATGTTTAAAGAATTTGTTTTACAAAAAATGTAGGACCACCCTGTGGACACGTTCGACTCCAGGGATGGGCCACAAGACGCTTTTTCAAATTAGAATAAAGTAGATACGAAATCATTGAAATATACATGTCGATATCATTACGGCAGCTGCTTTTGGTTCGGGTCACCAATACAGTGCGATGCTGCTTTTACTTTTCAATCACAAATACGAGTATCCCTTGATTTTTGCAGGCTGAACAAAAAAAAAAAACTCGAAGATCTTCATCTTCTTATTTAAAATCTATTAGGATATACTGTTAGAATATCCTCTTTCTTTCCACATTTCCTGATCAATTTATTGTATGAAACGATATCGATTTCCAAGAATATATGAGTATTCAACGTATTTTTTTTATAATGAATATATAAACTAAAAACATAAATTTTAGCTTTTTACATGAATTATTAGTCTATCATAAGCATTGGCCAACATTCCACCACACACACAAACACACATATAATATTCATATAACAAAGAGAGTAAACAGTACACATTATTCGATACAAGACAAGGCTCTTTAACTAACAAAATCTCTTTAACTAACAGTGCATACTTTTTGATCAAAAAAATCAGGGCATACTTTCCATGATGAATTGTATTTTATATCGAAGTTAATTGTTCTTCCTCTTTTTTTGCAAATAAAAATGTTTACATGCTACAGGTTTGTTGTAGCGATATTTTATTTAAATTACCGCCATATGATATATTCCTAGTTTCCCATAAGAGGAATATTGTACAATAACACCAAATAAAGTTAATAGCAAAATTTTGTTAAAAAACACCAAATAAATTTTTATGAACAAACATAACATCAACTGTAATAATTTTCCTATGTAGCAATTGTTTATATTGTGAAAACCTTTTTACTATTTATGTAATTTTCAAATAAACAAAAATATATATGTTTAAAATACAAAATAATTATATAAAAAAGAAATTCGAATTTAATTCTTTTTAATGTTTTTCTTTCCATTTTTTTAACTTCGATAGGACCATTTTTCCACATGATGATTTGTTTTTTTGGCTTTTGGCATCTAATGAATTTATTAAAGGTTACTGCAATATATCCTTTTAGGGGTGGAGGTCAAATGCAATGTATCCTTATATATGAAAAACAAAATTGAAATTGGAATTAAGGGGATATTACCAAAAGTTACATACACATATTTATCAATGAGGTCTAACCAATTTTTTCCATGAGCAAGACGAACCGTAGAGTTTGACTCAGCTGAGTATCACTGAAAGTTGATCATCTGTTAACCTAAGTTGCTCTTGGGGAATTTTGATAAAACAATACACTATATTTAAAAAATACATAACTTAAAAGATAAAAGTACTAAGATATTCTTATTTATTATTTAAACCATAATTATTTGATAATAAATATATTAAATTCATAATTATCTAAACAAATATATTAAAGTTATAAATCTGAAATTCAGGATTAAATCTAATTATTTATTTTATTAATAATAAATTCTATTTTTTTAATAAAACAGATAATTTTTTTAATTTAGTTGATTTTCTTACAAAGTCAATTTATTAGAACTATTGAATTTCTTTTAAAAAAATTATTTATATTTTTGTTGGTTGATTTTTTACAAAGTTGATTTGTTATGACTGTTGACTTGTAAAAAAAATTCCCGACTTATTCTCTCATATTAATCTTATATATTTTTTGTTGATTGTTTTATTAGGTTGATTATTTTGAACTATCAATTTATATTTTATAATAGTCAGTTTTTTATTATTTTTATCAACTTATTTTATAACAGTTGACTAATATTTTGTTTGGTTGATTTTTTTTTATAATGTCAATTTATTATAACTGTTGACTTAATTTTTATATTTGTTGACTTATATTTTATTTTCATCAACTTATTCTCTCATGGTAAAAAAGGAATTTTTGTTGTTGATTTTTTTGATAAAATTGAGTTATTTAAACTATATATTTATTGGGCTGCTTAGGGACTTCCTTTCTCGTAGCTTCATGTCTCACCACCGTCATCTCCGCCGTCTCGCAATCTCTCCCTACTCGAAATTACGGAACTATAACGAAACCGTTGGTTTATAAAATGTACCATCATTGGTTATTGTTTCCTAGCTATGGGTTTGCCCTAATTAAGTACCACAATTCTGGTACATCAACTAAATTTAGCAATTTTCTTAGGCAATCTTCTAGTAAACTATTAGGACTCACAAAAATGTCAGCAATTTTCACAAAATGAATATTTTCATCTTTCAAATATACAAAATTTTTTTGTCTAACTAAGTAGAAACACAAATGCCAAAACGTAAAATGAGTGTTTTCTTTTATTAACGTCTAAAATAACATACGTATATATTATTTAAAATAACTGGAGCAAAAGTGGTTATCATTTTGTAAAGAACATACATTGTTTAAAACACGACACCATACATTAACGCCACAATTGTAAGAGCTGGAGTCCAATCATAGAAAGAGAGACACTTGGCCACGATCCAGGACCAGTTTGTTCGACAATTGGAGCGACAGTGAGATTGGCTCTATTTGACACAGTCAGAAGAAATCAGAATTCTACTACAGTATGATAGATTTTACTTTAGGGATTTAATGGAATATAGTTTCTGGTGTAATTATAGTTAGTTTTACCGCAGATTAATGCTTGTTGCCGTTTTTGACCTTGATCCAATGTTTGAGCAATCGGTAACTTTTGTTAACAAAACAAAAAAAGAAGAAAAGTACAAGTTTTACTGCTTGTGTAAGTCTTTGACTTTGATCTATAATACAGATTCTATATGTTCAAGAAAGCCGCAACTAGACACTTGTCAAATAGGGATCCAGACTTTTAGCTGGATCAGGTCGTGATAAGAAAAAAAAATAAAAAAAAAAAGAGATTCTGGTGCGATGATGATAAAGAATTTGTCAGCAACAACAAGAGAAAATTCGTATGATGATCATAATAGTTCACTGAATGAATTAAGGATTCATCGTATAAATATTTAATTGATGAAAATATATGGTGTTTCAACGGTTTTGAGTATTAATTTAAACCAACGAATATAATCATCTGAAGAAACAGTAACACAAAATGGAAAAAGAATGCCGTCCAAACTATTTCGGAAGTGAGTTGTTCGATTAGCTGTATAAAACAATGTAATCATTTTTTCCACGTTCTAAATTATAACGAAGATACAACACATCAGGGAATATAAAAAGTATGTTGGGATATTCATATTCTTGAAATACATGTCAAGAAATTTTACAACAGGTAAAGAACTGAATAGACTATTAAAAATTAATTAAAAAAAAAAAGCCCACAGTACCCCCAACCGACGAAACAAGCCGCCACGCATTATTTTCCAGAATGAACAAATATAAATTTATATTTGTTTATTTCCTTAAGAAACTGTTCATAGATATCATGAATTAAATTCTAAGTAAATTACATAACCCATAATTAGGGTTATATAATCAATAAAATGACGATGGGTTATCTATCCCCTGCAAAACACTGAAATGTCTATAAGGAAAGTCAAAGGAGCAACGATTTTTCTCCTCTTCTCTCTTCGACTGGTTCGCTGCCATAAAAGAAACAAAAAAACCAGCCGATTCTTCAAAACGCAGTTGCTCCTGCAGAGTCTTATTCCCCTCCGCACGTGACATCTCCTTGACATCCTCTTCTCTAGTCTCTCCAATGGCTCTCTTAAGGAACCGCTTAAACCATTTGACCGAGTCTTTTGGATAACGTTTGAGACCGTTGACAAAGTCAACATAGTAAAGACCAAATCTAGCAGTGTATCCATGCTCCCATTCAAAGTTATCCATCAATGACCATGCATAGTATCCTCTTACGTCACACCCATCTTCCCTATAACCATATTATAACATTAATCATTTTTTATTAAATGGATTTAAATTGAACCGTATATAATTTTGAGAAAGATCAAGAACTAACATCATAGCTTTGTGAAGTTGTTGGAAATGTTTGTCATGGTATTCAATCCTAAATGTGTCCTTAAGAACCTCTTCTCTTGGTTTTGTACCATCGTCGTTATCGTTGATTCCTGCAATTCGTAATCAACATATATATGTTATATATAGTTACGTCTATAAATTGGGGGAAAGAAACTATTACAAAGTCAGTTATTTTATCCGGCTAAAAATATATATTTCAGTCTATCGAACTTAAGCTAACTCAGTGCAGAAAATTTATTTACTTTTTTATAGAGTTAAAGAGATTATGTACTAAAATCCGGATTTTCTAGTTAGCAGATATAAATAATGACGTTTCAGAATTTCTAGTGAACATAATAAAAAAAAAGAAAAAAAAAAGTTGTCTAACCATTTTCTTTGATGTAGACCGGCATGTTATTGTATCTATCCTTGATATAGTTCAGCACTTTTCGCAAGCCTTCGGGGTGTGACAGTATTATGCCCCTTTCATCCTATAGAGAAAATACAAATTTAAAAATCTTAGGATGATATTTTATGTTGCATTTAGAAACTAATAGCTATAATGAAGAAGAAAGCACTTACCCCAAGTCCGATATTGTGGCCAGTGTGGTTAGTCACTGTTTCAAAGAAATTTATAAACGTTGTTTAGTTTATTATCTAAATTATATTGAAATTGGTATAAATAAACATTTTCTTAAGCAGTTAATTACGTACGTGACCATTTGACGTGATGATCAGTCTTGAACCGAGGCTTTGCTGGGTCGATGTGAGGAATATGAGCAGCGAAGCGTGCTGTATAGTAATTTATTCCGACAAAATCTGATGAATTTTTTAACATGTTCGATTCTTCCGCGGTAAATGAAGGTAACTTATCCCCTGCGTATTTTTTCACCATCTCTGGATAATCTCCGTGAGTCACTGGATCAAGATGCCTATGTACACATATAGAATATAAATAATGATTATTTAATAGATATCAACGATGAAATAAATATAAACAATCATTTAGCTTAGAGAACGTACGTACCATCCAATTTCAAAAGCAAGAGCTCGTTCGGCTGCTTCTTTATCATCAATAGAGTCGGAGTGAAAAGGTTCGAACCATCTTGGTGATAAAACTATACCAATTTGACCATCATGTGATGTTTTGTTACATTTTCGGAATTCATCTACTGCAGCGGCATGAGCAAGAAGAACGTGATGCGAAACGATGTAAGGCTCGGTACTCGAGTCACCGGCTTGACACTTTTCGCTAACCCATTTCGAGCATCGTCCAGCCGCCTTGTTTCCTTGGTCGTAACCGGCAATAGTCATAATGTACGGTTCGTTGATCGTTGTCCACATCTTAACTCTATCTCCAAACTCTTCGAAACAAACTCTTGCAAAATCTCGGAAATCTTCTCTGTTTTGATATAAGTCATACAAAAATAACAAAATCAATCGTATCTACAATAACAAAATAATAAAAAAATCGTATTTTGTAGTATTTGAAATATTTAAATTAGGCTTACACAATTTCAGCGCTTAAAAAGCCACCATATTCCTCCTCCAAAGAGTGTGGATGGTCCCAGTGATAGAGTGTCATTGAAGGTTGTATGTCTGCATATTTATCCAACCATACGATATTGTTATTATTATTATTCTAAGTTATAAGCAAACCTTTTATATTATTAAAGATTTTAAACTTTACTAGTAAATTAATGATCTTACTATTAGCAAGAAGTTCGTCGATGAGATCATTGTAGAATTGTACACCTTCTTTGTTCACTCCATCCTTAAGCTTTCCAGCTGTAGATACATAAATAACTCGTATCATTGACCCAAAAAAAAAAACTCGTATAAACAGGGAAAAATATAATTATCAACCAGACAAAAACTTACTGGGAATTAATCTCGCCCACGAGATTGAGAATCTGAAAGCGTCCATGTTTAGCTCCTTCATCAATTTAATGTCATCCTGATTTGTTTGTTTATCATATAAAAAACATATTAATTTACCAAAACAAAAACGATAACTATATACACGTACGAGTCCCAATTACAACGTCCCAACTTTTAAGAAAGTATATATATTGACTTTATCTGAAAAGTTATCTTATTTTGACTGATTTTTTTTATTTTAAATAATCTGTTTTTCTTATTCACATAATATATAATATATGATAGTTTGATTCAGTTTTAGTTCTAAATAGCAGGATAATTATATATACAGTATGTGTTTGAAAGAAAATTAGAGACTGATTGTACCTTATAGCGGTGATAGAAATCAATTGCTACATCTGCATTATGCATCATGGTTCTTTCTGCAGTCAAAGATTTTATAAATTAATTTCGGTCCGAAAATTTCAGTCAAAAGATTCTGCCGTCAATGATTTTATAAATTTAACATTAGTTTTTACTTTTTAGTCACAATTCACAAACGCATAATTATTCAATAGAAGTGTTGTTAATCAGATCCGGTTCGGAAATTATTGTTATCGGACAAACCTGGGTAAGTACGGCTAAAGTGGTCCCAGATAGCTGGAGACTTGCCACCTTCGTCTGTTGCTCCTTCGTACTGCATAAATATATATACATTATTTTCATCGAAAAGCTAATTTAGAATGACAAAACAGAAATCTGAAAAAAAACAACTAATGTAATTTGGAAAAGAAAGAAATTTACGAGTTTTGTAAAATAATGTAATTTGTAAAGCAGAGTTTTTTTTTGTCTTCTAATCAAACATTATATAACTTTATAAGGATGATGCGAGCTACTTTATAAATCCAGTTATTATATTTTGTGACAGAGACATAAAAAGAGAGCATTTAAGAAAAAGGACAAAAAAAAGAACAAACTGTAGACGTCATCAAATAAAATTGATTTTCCTCCAAGTTAAAATTGAAACTCGAACATCCTTTTCATCTTTCAAGTATATCTGGACAACTGTATTACGATTAAGTTTACCTTACTTGTTAAACCAGAAAAAGGAGGGCGTGTTAATTTGTAATAAAATATAATATTCAATCAGACTAATAGATAGAAAACCCATAACAAAAAAAAAGACTAGAGGATCCCAAAACAACATTTCAGATAAAACAACACATGAAATAACGTTAAAATTCAACTATTTCTTCGATGCTCGTAAAATTGTAAAAATGAAAGACGAAAATATGAAGAGACAAAATATTATACGGCGAAAGTATAGAATTACAGAATTGTTTTAGCATTACTTAAATATTGAAACAAAACGATTAGATTAGAAATGTGATTCTGTATAAATATATGATTGATAGAATCACAATGATTTGGCCATTACCTGAAATGCCGAGGCAGCCGTTCCGAAAATGAAACCATCGGGAAAACTTTGTCGATCTAATATTCGAGAATTAATTGTGTTTGCAAACAACGAGATTATCGAAAGAATGATGAAGAAATGAGATCCCTTAGCCATTATTTTTTTTCTCTCTTTCTATCTCTTTTTGTTTTGGTTTTTGTATGGTGTTTCGAGATTTCAAAGTGAGATATTGAAGAGGGATACACTCTATCTTCCTGTCTTATATAGAGTTTTTTCCTCTCGTCCGGGTACAATAGACGTCATCTACGTGGAAATGTTTGGACATTAAAATAATATTATCTAGACAGAGAGAGAATTAATCTATTTTTTTACTACCCGAATATTTCTTTCCACTTTATGACTATTATGCATAATAATAGGTCAAGGTCACGTTATTCCATATTGGGTTCTTTAGTTTTTACGATCTTTGGTGCTACCAACTTAACCTAGTAGCCTTAATTTGTCTATTTATAATTACAGTCATTTTTGAATATGCCCATTCGCCATGGTCTTCTCTGAACTGTTCCATGATTACTGCTCCATGAATGGTTCTCTTATTGCCTATATACGTGTGTGTACACCAGAGGCGAGTCTAGTAAGGTGGATACGGTGTCATGTAAAATATTTATAAACATTTTTTTTAGTTAAAATTATGGTAATTTGAGTAAATAAAATGGTAAAAATTTACATGTTGACACTGTAAAATAAGACCAAATCTCGTCAAGACACCACCTAATTTTCTTTTTAATTTTTTAACTTCTATTTAATAAATATAAATTATTGCAATATGACCCACCCCAGTAGAAATCATTGTTTCTCCCTTAGTGTAAACTAATGTTGGTGTTGAATATGGTCAACATCGGGGCTACGTTCATTTGTTAACATATATCCCGCGAAGACTGCATGTACTTCTAGGGACGGTTACAATTTCACGTGTAATGTTCCACACACCTTCACGCGCTTGCAAGACTTTGTTTTTTGCCTAAGGTAAAAGATTGACCATTTTGAATTTTTGAAATTTTCCTTTTGGGCTACGTCGTGTTAATCTTATCTTGTAAACTGTTCAATTTTAAATGGATGTATTTTATATTAAAAAAAGTTTTTTACAGCTTACTCGTGCCTGTAATATACGTTTTTTTTTATAACTTTGTAATATATGTTAAGAGCCCATTATGTATTAGAAAACAAATATTAGCCGAATATATACAAATTTCTGTACATGCGTATAATTTAATTTGGTAAATAGAACGTGTCATCTTTATCCAAAAAGTCAAAACCATGCTTATCTTTTGGTATCACTTTCGTTTAATTGGTTTTTTTCACAGAAACTAGTAATTTCATTATATATAGGGAGCTTTTATCCTTTTGTGCCAAAGTTACGGCCGAAACGTAGCTACGTACGCCACTTGCTAGCCTATTATAGTGATAAATTAAATATTATATAAAATTTAGAATTAACAAATCTTAATGTATTTTTTTAGTTTCTTATAAATGATAGTATCTTAAATCTTACTTAGTTAGTGGAACGGCGTACGTCTTTTAGATATTTGCCTACGGAGGCATTGAGTTTGAGAATGTACATACTGGTTATAATAATGAAAACAGCAATGAAGGGAATTCCATTTGATATTTTGTTACTGAGTGAATATATTATTTGGAAATTAGTTGTCTTCGAGAAATTATAATGTTCCACCAAAAGAAAAGAAAAAAAAAAAGAGATGTGAGCCTTATCACGTTCCAATAGAAAAGAGATGAGAACAATTAATTGGCAGTGACATGCTTTGATTTTTAGGAATATATATATATATATATATATATTTGTGTAGGAGCAAATAAACTTCCAACATACGGAGATGGGTTCCTTTTGGAATAGATATCCTTACTAAATTATTATTATATTTTAAAATCATTTCTAAAAGTTGAAGTAGTAGATCATATATTTTAAAATATTATAAAAAATTGTATATTCATTGTAAAAATTTATAAATCAAATAGGAAATAAGATTGAAATTGTGTCTGATATATAAATGTTCATATCTTTCATAATATTCCAGATTTATATTATATATGTAACTAATTTAACTTCGGTAGAAACATTTTTTCACATGATGGTTTTTTCTTCTTGCTATTGGCATCTGGTAAATTTCTTGAAAATGCTTGGAACACCCAAGTCTAATAACGAAAACAGATGCATCAAACATGCAAACCAAAGTCTCGAACAACAAAAGCGCAAAATTGTCTAAGGAAACAACTAATTAAAACATGAGGAACCCTCCTTCCTGATTAATGCAAGAAATATGTTTATGAAAGAGAAAAAGTGACGGTTGTAGAAAAACAATATAGATTAAATTGCATAGAATCTCGATTTGTTATTAGGAAAATTTAGAAAGGGTTGAGTTTTAATGAATTTAGATGATTTTAGGTGAATTATGAAAGTTGTTATAATTTGCTATTAAGATATTATTTGAAATCACTCGAGATCTTTTCAAATTTAGCGTTTAAAATATTTTCAATAACAGTATATTTAATTTAATTTTTACAAAATTTTGATTGAATAACATGAGATTTAAATGATATTAATTTGTTTTACATATTTCTATTTTCACTAACATTAGATTTGAGGAGACATCTAAAAATTATTAATTTAATAATATAGAATTATTAGGAAACCACAAAATCTTTTAAAATTTCTAATCTAATATACCCCCAAATTAATTTCCCTAGAAAAGATAAACCATATCTAAGCGAAAAAATAAAATAGTATTTAACAAATTCTATGACATGTCCAGTTATCAATAACGAGATGAGAACAACTACTGCAAATTGACCCGGATGATTGTAGGTTGTTCTCAAGTTTTACTTTAGTTCTTTTGTCAACACGGCTGCTTATATAATAATCTGAAATTGCACGTATAGGAATAGAAAACAACAATTAAGTACTCAGAAGTGAAGCTAGAATCCAACGAGAAACAAGAGTACCAGACGCACAAAACAAAACATAAATTAAACCTAGTTAATTTTACACATTTTCAGAAAATGTTAAATTTGACTTTGATATTATATGATAAATGTTGTAAAAACTGTTTGATGACATATATATATGTAAATCTACTTTTAAATATAAATATGGTATTTTAACGAATTTTTTAGTGTAAAAGTTAAGTTTTATGTTTCTGGCTAATTCATTTTTAATAACTGGTTGTTATTTTCTACAGTTTATATGCCCATTATAAGTTCAAATCCGGATATTAACATATATATAGTACTAAACGCAAACTGGTAACATACAAATCTACATAGTGAAAGAACAAAAAAAAAAAAAAAAAGAACATAGCGAAAGAACATGTTTCCTTTCTTTATTGTATCAAAATGTTATATTTAATTTACTATTAACTATTTTTGTATTTATATTTTGAATTTCTTTTTTGTTGAACTTCTTCTTATATTCTGAATTTGTTCAGAACAAGTTTTCTTAACAGAATGCATAAAGAAGAACAAATTACCTTCCAACGAACTCTCCAATTTATAAATGACTTATACATTATTTATTTTTTTACAACAATGACTCATACAATTTTAAAATCTTAAAATTCATAACAAAAAGTTTGGTAAAAATTATAAGATTTTGGTCTCGATTTGACGTAGCCTTGATTTAGTCTTCGGTTTGTGGCTTGCAGCTGATTGAAGTCAATGCTATGCGTTTCGGTGGAAGCTGATAGTCTTCAGTGTGGGCTTCGAGTTTTTGGTTGAGCCCGGCCCATTCTCGACCAGGTTTGTATAATTTGTTAAATAGATTAAACAAACTCCCAGAGCATTAAGAATAATAATTCAAGTTGTCTTTTTCTTCTTACTTCAAGCTGCTTTCTTCTTCAAGATTCTGTAGATAGAGTAAAAAAGCTTTGCCGAGACATAAAAACGAATTGTGTACTTTCTTGCGATTACGTCCTCAGTTCGAGTCGTTCGATTTTAGAACGATTCATAATCTACAAAGAATATTAAGAGTTTTCAAACTTTTGGGGATTAAAATTTGAGCTCAATGTTTTATTTATTTGGAAAGTAATGAAAACCCAGAATTACCAATATTTTCCCAATATTAAACTCTAGTAACATCTAAAGACGACCAACCCTAGCTAGTTTTAAAATTTATTTTATGTACATCAAAAGAAACGTAACATTATCATTCATACACAACAAATAGTAGTCTCATCTCACGATATACTAAATAACAGCCACTTGCTGACTCGTCCCATTATACTCTCCTTTCAACGATTTCCTAAACGACTTAGCTGATTTCTTCGGATATCTCTTACGTCCATTTCATATATAGTCCACATCACTAACCCAAATCGCACCGTATATATTTTTTACTTCTTTTCCACGTTCGATTTGTTCGGATATGGAACAAAACTAATTATATTTTGGTACGTTTTGTTCAGTTAAATCGATATGCCACCCCTAATACGAGATGTTTATTATAGATGTGACCAAAAAGGAGGACTTGAGGTGATGAACGTAGTAATCAATACTCAAACCGTCGTTAAGAAATATTTCGCCATTACTTGCTTCATCCACTCCCACGTGATTTTTAGGGTAAAAAAAATACTAGTCTGAACTAGATTTTGGTCAGAATACTCTGATAGGGTTTTCCATAATAAATATTCTAGTAAACGCTAGGAATTACCGTTTACTGTTATGTACAAAACGGGATAATTGAATTTAAATTTTACATATAGTAGGAGATCGCGAATACCCTTGGGTAAATCAAAAGCCTTGAACGAATCGTAGACAGTACAAATGTCAAAAGAACAAATTACTTGGAATAATTGTTTTTAATTAACGTCTAAATTCTTACTTAACATAAGTGACAAATTCTCTGTAGAAATTCATTCAACCAAATTCTATCACATTTATATAAATGATAGAATAATCGAACCTTTGGAGGCACGCCATTTTGCATGCCCCCCCCCCCCCAAAAAAAGACAGAATATGGCGAATATTCAAGAAAAAAGGGTATACTTATAGCCTTATAGGTATAAAAAAAAACATATGGTTTACGGATTTACGACGTTGACGCAAGAATCAGTCGACACGGTGATGTTTTCTGTTGCACGCGGCACGCCTTGAACGTAAAAATATGTGTAATAGTTAATGCCTATGAAGATCCTTTAAGCATAGACGGACTAATTCTGGTGTGAATGTAGGAAGACGGCCGCATTTGACTTGGTTGACCATTTCTGTTGGATATTGACCGTTGACGATTGACTCTACGAAGTAGTCGAAGGTGAACGCCGTGGCTCGACCCTCGGCTAATTGGTCAACATATGAATCTGAGTAATAAGAGGAAATTAATATTCTTTCTTAGTCGGTCTTGAAGAGTGGTTCTTGGTGGAAACTCAAACGTAGGCCAAAATAGTAAAAGGAGACATTTACATCTCATCATTTCTTTGGCCTTTTTACTAATTGTGCCTTTTTAAATACGACTTTTAAATCGTTTTCAAGAAACGCTATCAATATATATTATCTTAATTAATCAAAAGCTGTGACCCATGGACACGATATTCGAGAAGTGGAATTGTTTGAAAATTAAAAGTAGTCCATGATCATCCATTTCTCGTGTTGAATGGCTATGTCATCTATTTTTCCTAACAAATAAAAACCTCTTGCACCCAATGTCTGTCTTGCTTTGCTTTCTCCTGTTCCAACCGAAAAAAAAAAAATTGGAAGACAATAACCCTAAATATCCGTGTAGTAAGAAATAAGTTAAACCATAAGAAGCTTGTGAGCCAAGAAATGAATAGAAACCCTAATATGACATCCGTATTAATATGAACTCTGCTTAGCACAGAAGATAAATGTAGAGCCACATAGGCGAGTCTCCAAAGACCGCAGTTTCTACAAATAACATATCGTTTGTAAAACTTTTAGAGACTAAAAAAGTATGAGATTAATGCTTTTTTCAGTATTAAATTAACATCCAACAAGACCAAACCTTATTTGAAAAATTTATTTTCTGTACATCAAAAAAAAAAAAACGAAACGTATTACAAATAGCAGAACAAATTAAACTGATTAATAAAATTAGATAACAGCCACTTGCTGCATCGTCCTATTGACCTCTCCCTTCAACAATCTCCTAAACCACTTAGCTGATTTCTTCGGTACCTCTTACGTCCATTTGCAAAGTCCACAAACACTAGCCCGAACCTGACCGTATATCCTTCGGCCCATTCGAAGTTGTCCATCAACGACCACGCAAAATACCCTTTCACATTCACACCCATCCTACATTTTATGCATACATATTGTTTTCAGTATCATTATATATTAGGGGCCTGGTTGTTTCTTTACCCTTTAATTACATTCGTGTTTGGGCTTCCATGTTATTATGTTTAACATGGAAGCCCAATATTGTTCTCATAGATAGAATGCCAACAAAAACAAATGAAACTATTATGTTTATACATGTGATCAGAAAAGGAGAGCTTACGAGATTGCATCGCGAACCATCTTAAGGTGTTGTGCATAGTAGTCAATTCTCAAGTCGCCATTAAGAAAGATTTCTCCAATACTAGCTTCATCCACTCCTACATTATTTTTTTTAAGAAAGAGACAGGAACAAAGTAACATTAGTCAGTTACAGAAAACAAAGTAACATTAGTCTGAACTAGTTTTTGGTATTCAGTTATTTTAAAAAGATAGATTTTATAGATGCTAAGAATTACCGTTTTCTGTTATGTACAAGACGGGATCATTGAATTTGTATTTTGCATGAAGTAGAAGATCACGAATACCCTCGGGGCATATCAAAACCCAGTCCGACCCAGCCTGAACTGAATCATAGATTTGAGAAATCACATATGTTAAAATTTAACAACTATCGAATCATAGATTTTAGACATTACAAATGTTAGAAGAACAGCTACATCGGATAATTAATTCATATTTGTAGTGTCTAAATTCTTACTTAACATACCACTAAATACTATGTAAAAATTCATGTAAACAAATTCTATCACAAGTATATATATGATAGAATAATCGAACCTTTGGACCGATAGGCACTCCATTTCGCTCACCTGATACAATATACAAAAGAAGGAAGAGGATATGGCGAATTGTAGAAAAAAATACAATTTATAGGTAAAAGAAAACCATATAGTACCTACGATGCTGACGCAAGAATCAGTGGACATGGTGATGTTTTCAGTTGCACACGGCACGCTTTTTACGTAAGACGATGAGTAATAGTTAATGCCTATGAAATCGTACGATCCTTTAAACATCGAAGACTCTTCTGGTGTGAAAGTAGGAAGACGACCGTCTTTGACGTGATTAACCATTTCTGTCGGATATTTACCGTTGACGATTGGCTCCATGAAGTATTCGAAGGTGAAGGCCGTGGCTCGAGTAAGGGTAGTGCCAATCTGTTTGCAACGCGATTCCAATTTCACCTTTCTGAGTTGCTTGTGGACACAGTATTGCAACTTTTACAAGGATTTTTATAACTGAGTTTAAGATTCATAAATTTTACCGGAAACCGATTCCCAGAGTTGTAAAGTTCAAATAGACAGAGTAGAGTAGACACAATGCATTGCAAAAGCAGAACATAGCGGAAACAGAGAAAAGCAGAGCATGAAACAGAGTAAAACAGAGGATGATGGAAACAGAGTAAGTTATGGAAACAGGAGAAACATACTTGGTACTTTTCTCGGTAGACTTTTACGGCGGCTCCATGAGCGAGGAGCAAGTTATGGCCGACGATGTAAGGCTCGGTGGCTCCATCGCCGCCGGTGCAGTCAGGTTTAGTGAAACTGGAACATCTTCCAGGTGTCTTTTCCCCTGTTGTATAACCTTGATGTACCACTGTAAACGGCTCGTTTAGTGTCACCCAATGCTTCACTCTATCTCCGAACTTCTGGAAACAGAGCTCCGCATAGTCCCTGAAATCATCCCTGTTTCATTCCCAAAAGGATCAACAAAAGGGGCCATTTTGTTTCTATCTCTGCCAAGTCCTAATCTTATTTAGAGATGTTAAAATGAAAGATTTACACAATCTTGGATCCAAGAAAGCCACCGTAAGCATCTTCGAGTGCATCTGGTAAATCCCAGTGAAAGATTGTGACAAATGGCTTCACTCCTAACACATTTACAAAACATCATTAGATCTCAAGGGTTTTGGCAAGATCCTAAACATCATCAAGATTCCCTCAATGTGTGTTAAAAGCATAAGGTCCTCTTAGTGTTACCTTTTAACATAAGTTGATTGATCAAGTTGTTGTAATAGTTAATCCCAGCCTGGTTTATTCCTCCATTTAGATCCCCACCTAATTAACCACTTCACATGATTAGTATTCACGAATATAGTAACTCTTTTACATATATCTGATGGGATGTATATCTTACGAGGCAAAATCCGTGACCAGGAGATGGAGAAACGGTAAGCATTGAAGTCAATCTGATGCAGCAAATTCACATCTTCCTGGTTTTGCAAAAAGTTTTTGATCAAGAAAATGTAAAGTTGGATGTATATGATTTAACTGTTTCAATTTTGGGTGGAGAGAACTATACCTTGTAAAGGTAGTAAGAATCATCTGCAATAGACCCGTTACTACCATCCATTATTTTCTCTGAAAAAAGGACAAACATATTAATTGAATAATTTAATCTCAAGAAACAAAAAAAATCAAAAGGGATCAAGGAGGTTCATCAGTTCATCAATCATCATCGGGGTCCTTTTTGTGATGATTAACATTTTCAACATTTTCTATTTAAACTAAATTCCAACATTTTTTGGGTCTTGAATGCAAGAATGTTTAAAGAGATTCAAATCATTTTCAGGGGTTTTCTAATTAAGAAGATAAACCTGGGAAATTTTCAGAGTAGGTGTCCCAGATACTTGGGCCTCTACCATCTTCATGAGCAGCACCTTCACACTGCAAAATCGAAAAATATTAACAAAACTGACATTTTTTTTTAATTGGAAGAAATAATAAGAACTAAACCTTATATGCAGAAGTAGCAGATCCAAAAATGAAATCTTCTGGGAAATCATTTCTTCTTAATCTAGGTCTTGAAGAGTGGTTCTTGGCAGAAACTCCAATGTAGGCCAAAGTAATGATCAATAGTAAAAGGAGACATTTACATCTCATCATTTCTTTGGTAAGAGTAATTATTTCTCTTCTAGATATAAGAATTTTGGCTGTGCAAAAGTTTATAAGAGAACTTTTTTTTATTTTTTAAAAATCATTTGTATAGATAGAGCTGGTGGAGAGGGATAGAGAGAGTGTAGGAACTAGGATTTTTTACTAATTGTTTCTTTTTTATACGATTTTTAATCGTTTCAGAAAACTATCATATATATCATCTTAATTAATCAAAAGCTGTGAAACGTGGGGACGATCATTTTCGTGAAACGTAAAGAAAAACAATATCCGACAAGTGGGACTGTTTAAAAACTAAAAGTAGTCCATGATTATCCATTTCTCGTGTTGGATGGATTTGTTATATAACAAATAAAACACCTCATTGTGAACTACCTTTTACACCCAATGTCTGTCCTGCTTTGTTTCGTTCTGTTCCACCAGAAACAAAAAAATTGTAAGACAAATGTTAAGAGAAGGCTAGCCTAAGGTTAGCCCGAGGCCCCGAGCACAAGTCAAAGAAAGATCCATGTGTGTATCTAGGGTTTCTACAATTCTATTAGATAGGTTTATACAAGTATTTGTGTAACAACAATAGGTAATGTAATTTTGGCTGTCAATAGAACAGCCTCTCTTTCCTTTCTATGAATCAATCGAAATTCTTGTTGAGCTCTTGGTGACAGATCTAAATCTTTTTCTTTTCCTTACTTTCTTGCACAATAAAGTTCTAATGAGCTACTTCATTTCAATCTAGTTTTAATCTTAATAAAGCTCATTTGAGCATGAATCTATCTTGGTTTAGAAATGTCTTCAACAAGAACTCTACAAAAACCCTAATAGAAGCTTGTGAGCCAAGAAATGAATAGAAACCCTAATATGACATGCGTATTAATATGAAATCAGGAATATATAATGTAGAACCACATAGGCGAGTCTCGAAACACCGCAGTGTATCCCTTGAAAGAACATATCGTTTGTATTTGTAATATAACTTTAAAACTTTTAGAGACTAAAAATATGAGATTAATGCTTTTTTTTTCTGGAAAGTAACTGAATACCCATTATTACAATATTTTGCAATATTATTTAGAATAACATCCAACAAAACCACGTCATATTTTAAAATTCTGTTCTCTGTACATCAAAAAAAAAAAAAAACGAAACGTATTATAAAAATAGTAGAACAAATTAACCAATGGCTCATGATTAATAAAATTAGATAACAGCCACTTGCTGCATCGTCCTATTGACCTCTCCCTTCAACAATCTCCTAAACCACTTAGCTGATTTCTTCGGGTACCTCTTACGTCCATTTGCAAAGTCCACAAACACTAGCCCGAACCTGACCGTATACCCTTCGGCCCATTCGAAGTTGTCCATCAACGACCACGCAAAATACCCTTTCACATTCACACCCATCCTACATTTTTATGTTATGCATATAGTATTCAATATCAACGCAAACAAACAGTCGAAAATATTATGTTTTATAAATGTGATCAGAAACGGATATAACTTACGAGATTGCATCGCTAACCATCTTAAGATGATCTGCATAGTAGTCAATTCTCAAGTCGTCGTTAAGAACGATTTCTCCAATATTAGCTTCATCCACTCCTACATTTTTTTTTTAAAGAAAAAGACGAGAACAAAGTAATATTAGTCTAAACAAGTTTTTTCGGTTCTAAGGATTCAATTATTTTAAAAGAGAGGTTTTATGGATGCTATGAATTACCGTTTTCTGTTATGTACAAGACGGGATCATTGAATTTGTATTTTGCATGAAGTAGAAGATCACGAATACCCGGAGGATATATCAAAAGCCAATCCGATCCAGCCTGAATTGAATCATAGATTATAGAAATTACATATGTTGAAAATAAACAACTATTTTTTCAGATAAACATTTCATTGTCTAAATTTCACACTTCAAATACCACTAAAAGAGAAATAAACAAAAAAACATGCAAGAATCGATCTAATAACATTCTATTTATATCTAGATCTAAATCAATATAAATTCTTAGGATTATCTATCTTAAATTATCATGGAAATCTTGATTTTATTGGGAGATATATCTAATTTTTGACTAGTAAAGCTGAATAGAATAATCGTACCGTTGGACCGATAGGCACTCCATTTCGCTCACCTAATACAATACACGAAATTATTAAATGAGGAACGTAGAATTTTTCAAAATTAATCTGAGAGAATTAGTCAATTTATAGGTATAAGAAAACCAAATGGTTCACGGACCTACGACGCTGGCGCAAAAATCGGCGGTCATGGTGATGTTTTCAGTTGCACACGGCGTGTCTTTCACGTAAGAAGATGAGTAATAGTTAATGCCCACGAAGTCGTAGGATCCTTTGAGCATTGAGGACTCTTCTGCTGTGAATGTAGGAAGACGACCGTCTTTGACGTGGTTAACCATTTCTGCCGGATATTTACCGTTGACGATTGGCGACATGAAGTAGTCGAAGGTGAACGCCGTGGCTCGAGCCGCAGCTAATTGATCAGCCTGTGAATCCGAGTAAGGGTAGTGCCATTGTGTGTTTAAGGCGATACCAATTTCGCCTTTTTGAGTCGCCTGCGAACACAATATAAGGAGCAAAATGCAGTCAGAATTTACAAACCATCAAAGAAACAGAGTAGAGCTTTGGAAAAACAGAGTAAAACAGAGCAAAAACAGAGCCACCGTCAAAACAGAGTGAAAACAGGGCAGCACGGAAACAGAGTAAAATGAGTAAAAATGTGTATGCAAAGCGGAAAGAAGAAGACCTGAAGAAAACAATAAAAAGTAAAATTGCTAAATATTATGAGACCATTTTGGAAAATAAATAACTTAAAATGTAAAACAAACACAAAAGCAAATAAACAATTTGATGTCTAGTTCAGAGATAAGCGAAACATGCCTGATACTTTTCTCTGTAGACTTTGACGGCGGCTCCGTGGGCGAGGAGCAAGTTATGGCCGACGATGTAAGGCTCGGTGGCTCCATCGCCGCCGGTGCAATCAGGTCTAGTGAAACTGGAGCATCTTCCAGGTGCCTTTTCACCTGTTATATAGCCTTCATGTACCACTGTAAACGGCTCGTTCAGTGTCGTCCACTGCTTCACTCTATCTCCAAACTTCTGGAAACAGAGTTCCGCATAGTCCTTGAAATCATTCCTGTTTCATTCCCAAAAGGATCAACAAAAACATTTTATTTTATCCTTGCGATGTCGTAATCTTACCAATTAGTAGAGATGTTAAATAAACGACTTACACAATCTCTGCTCCAAGGAAGCCCCCATAAGCTTGCTCGAGTGCATCTGGTAAGTCCCAGTGAAAGATTGTGACAAATGGCTTCACTCCTAAAACATTTACAACATTACAAAAGACATTAAATGTTGCGTTCTTGACGAATCCTAAACATCACCAAGATTGCCTCAATATTGGGTTGACGAATCCTAAACATCACCAAGGACTGAGAAACAGAGGATCATTACCTTTAGACAGGAGTTGATTAATCAAGTTGTTGTAAAAATCAATTCCAGCCTGGTTGATACCTCCCTTTAGATCTCCACCTGATAAACAAAAGAATGCTAATTACTAATTCACTCACGGATATTATAAGACTCTTTACAAAGATCTGTTCGGATGTGTATCTTACGAGGCAAAATCCGTGACCATGAGATGGAGAAACGGTAAGCATTGAAGCCAATTTGATGCAGCATATTCACATCTTGCTGGTTTTTCAAGAAAGTTTTGATTAAGAAAATGTAAAGTTGACATTTTTATTGCGTGAAGAAAGTAATACCTTGTAAAGGTTGTAAGAATCATCAGCAATGGACCCATTACTACCATCCCTTATCTTCTCTGAAAAAGGACAAACTTTTAATTAAAATAATTTAATCTTAATTAACATATTAAGTAATGGACCCATCACTACCATACATTAATTTCAACAAGGTTCATCATCATCAACCCATTTTGGCTATGAATACAAGTTAAAATCAATACCAGAAGAGGCAAAAAGAAAAACCACATTTCAAGATATTTGAGTCTTGAATGTTTAAAAAGCCCCCCCAAAATTAGGGTTTCTGATTAGGAAGAAAAACCTGGGAAATTTTCAGAGAAGGTGTCCCAGATACTTGGTCCTCTACCATCTTCATGAGCAGCACCTTCGCACTGCAAAAATCGAAAACAAATTAACAAAAAATATAAAACAAAACAAAAGTATACGGAAGAGTTTAGTAAGAACGAAACCTGATATGCAGAAGTAGCAGATCCAAAAATGAAATCTTCTGGGAAATCACTTCTTCTTAATTTAGGTCTTGAGGAGTGGTTCTTGGCGTAAACTCCAATGTAGGCCGAAGTAACGAGCAACAGTAAAAAGAGACAATTACTTTTCATTATTTCTGTATTAATCAGTTACTTTTATTTGGCTGTGGAAATAAGAGAAATGTTTGTTTGGATTTGATCGTATTTGTATCTATAAATAGAGCTGGTGGAGAGAGAGTATAGCAACTACCAAAAGTAAAAAACTCTTTTTTTTTTATATATATTAACGATTTTTCAACTGTCTTAAAAAACCTTATCCTATTAAATTAGTACTAAAACAGATAAGAATATCTTAATTTAATTAAAAGCTGAGTCACAGAAAGAAAATTATCCTATGGATAAGACGTGGGAATGGTGATGACATTTATTGGTGAGAAGGCCTTTTGAGTATATATGCTTCTGATAACAATATTATTCTGACCAAAAAAGAAATCTTTCAGATTGTTTTTTGAATTTTCTATGCTTTGATTTTGGATAAATTCGTTTTGTCGAGGTGTTTTATTGCGTGAAGTAAGGTGGGGCAATTGGGAACAATTATTTTGGTCAACCTTAACAGCAATTAAATGAATGATAGAAACCCAACGTGGTGATGTGCAGCTGAAATTTACAAATTAATAGTATTTGAAAAGGTTAAAATCTTTTGCACAAAAAAAAGAGAGGTTAAAATGTTCCCAAATCGCTGATCAAACTATAAATAATAGTCCATGATTGTCCATTTCTGGAGTTGAATGTTAATTGGATATGTAAGTGAAATTAAAATAATAAATCCTGCATAATTAGTTTATATTATTAATTACAAGTACTTAAAAATTGTCCTCTAAATAGTCAGTCTTTTTTGGTCGACAAAAGTAATTAGGTGCTCCTAATATGTTGAAATAGACCATAAAAGATAAAGGCCCAAGTCAAATCATTCTATAAAAGGCCCGTCACTACAAAATGGTATTGCAAAGAATCAGAGATCTTTAAGCCATTTTTTTTTTCTTTTCAAACTTTGCCATCTATAAATTTGTTCAATTAATCCTTTCAAATATTTTTCGTAATGTACTTTTATGTAATTTTATTTTATTAACTGATTTGAATCCAAGAATGATGGTAAACAAAGAAGACCAAAGAAGGAACAAAGTCTTAGCCTTCTTTGTTGAAAAGCTAAGTATTTTGCTTTGGTTCAAAGCTTTTTACACAATAAATTATTAAAAAAACAAAATAAATCTAGAAAAATAGTTCGAGGGCCTTCGAAGATTCAGACATCTTGGGAATAAAACATGAAGCCGAACCAGTTGCTAATAAGAATCTCCTCTTCTTCGTTGCAGCCTTCAACAAGTACTCTTCTTCCTCGGAATCTTCAATCTCTTCTTCTCTCTTCAAGAACTCTTTGAACCACATCGCTGACATTTTCGGAAAACGTTTCAGCCCGTTGGTGTAATCGACAAAGAATAATCCGTATCGAACTCCATAACCAGCGTTCCACTCGCAGTTGTCTAGTAACGACCACGCAAAATATCCTTCAACTTGAACCCCATCCTCCCTGAACAATAAAACATTTATCATCAGTACTTAGGAAGCTAAGTATAGGCTTCTTGTATGTCAAGCAACTTAATAGAGATTTCATTTAGAGAATACACTTACTGAATAGCTTGTTGGATGCTTTGGAGATGTTTCTTGTGGTACTCTGTCCTTTGGAGATCCATCAAGTTTGAAAGTTTTGGTTTCTTCTCGTAATCCATATCACAATGTCCTGAACAATTTTTAAGAGAAAAAAGAGAGAGTATTAGAGTAACTCTAATAGAGAGAGTTAGTAAACAATGATATTTCACGAAACAACTGAGTAAAACTATCTTTGGAAGAGTTTAGTATAAAATTATTACCGTTTTCAGTGATCATAAATTTCGGGCTTTCATATTTGTTCTTGGCATAATTTAGAAACTTTCGAAGTCCTTGAGGGTATAGAAAGTCCCATTCTGAACCACCTCTTACACCCAATGTCTGTCCAGCTTTGTTTTGTTCTGTTCCAATAAAAATATAACTTGTGAGACAACGAAATCGGTAACCAAAAGTCCAAAGATATCAACAGACCCCTAAGAAGCTTGTGAGCCAAGAAACAAATAGACCCTAATAATATGATATGAGTAAGTTTTACGTAAATCTCCACTTACTTCTCCATTCAATGCGTGCGTCTGATCTCCAATTGGGAGTGTTATGGTCCACTTCAGCAATACTTTTTACGTAGAAAGCACTGTAATAATTCACTCCAACGAAGTCAAAAGATCCTCTTAGCTTCTTAGATTGGGCTGCGGTAAATGAGGGTAATCTCTTTCCTATCGATTTTTTCATCACTTCAGGGTAATCTCCGTACACCGTCGGATCCATATGCCTGTTAATTATCAAAAATTCCGAATAAAAACTATTAGAAAATTAACAAGAAAAAGTGTATGTGTAAAAAAAGAAAAGACAGAAAGGCCACTCACCATCCGAACATGAATTCCATGGCTCGTTCACATGCTTCTTTGTCATCAGGGCAGTTCGAGTCATAAGGCTCAAACCAGACGGGACAGTGGGCGATACCAATCTTGCCATCTTTACACTGGGATTCAAAGAAAAAATTTATCAATACATATGTGCTCAAAAGACTTCAAATAAAAGTGCTTTTCAAAAAAAGAAAATGTTTCCTTACTTTGGGATTGTTTCTGAAGACTTCAACAGCTTCAGCGTGGGCCAATAGTAGGTTGTGGCTAACAGTGTAAACCTCGAGGCCAGATTCCCCAGCCAAGGCTCCTTCGTTCATGTACTTGGAGGCACGTCCGGGCGCTTTTCTTCCCGTGTCATAACCACCAATACTGTAGACCCATGGCTCGTTTAGTGTGACCCACAGTTTCACACGGTCGCCAAATTCTTCGAAACATATGGCTGCGAAATCTCTGAAGTCGTCACTGCAAGATGGTTTATTGGTAAGCTTATGTTAGAGACACTGATGATTCGAAGAAATAGAGCCAGGAAGTAATACTACATATTTTAAAAAAAAAAACACTTACATAGCTTGTTCACTTAGAAATCCGTTGTATTCATCTTCAAGGGCTTGAGGAGTATCCCAATGAAATAAAGTAGCGAGAGGTGTGATTCCTGTTCATAGATATATATATGATTTTGTTAAAATATTTCAATATAGGAGACTAGTTTAATAAAAGAAGATGTGTATATATAGGCAAGATTAAATACCGTTGGCTAGGAGTTCATCAATTAGGTCGTTATAGAACTTGATTCCTTCTTTGTTCACACCTTTGCTTTTTTTTCCAACTATTTTTTTGGGGATATGAACAAAAAATAATGATTAGATCTTGTTTGAATATTCACTCATTAATATGTTTACTCAAGAAACGAATATACAATTGGTTTCTATATAAGAGTAAAGAACTTACGAGGCAGAATCCGAGGCCAAGAGATAGAGAATCTGAAAGCATCCATGTTAATATCCTTCATTCTCTGGACATCTTCCTTGTAATGGTTATAGAACTCGACCGCTTGATCCGCGTTAGAGTAGCAATTTCTCTCTGCAAAATTTTTCATTATATTAAAGTTAGTTTGATGAATATCATAACTAAGTAAATACAAGTATCTCTTCACATATAACCCTATCTATATTTAAAAAATGGAGAGTTGTTTTTACATCTAAACAAACCTGGATATTTGCGAACAAATGTGTCCCAAACACTCTCTCCGCGAGGAGCTTCGTTTATGGCTCCTTCATATTGGTAAGCCGACGAGGCTGTCCCAAAGAGGAAACCCTCCGGAAAATCAGAACGCCCGAAGGAGTTTTTCTTCGAGTACATGTTCCTCTTTCTGTTAATATTATTTAACAACCCAAAATTAGAAAATGTTTTGTCAACGGATAAACTTATTTTCAGAGCCTTGTGGTTGTATTGAAGTTTGATCACTCACTGAGTCATTGTTTATGAAAGAATTTATAAGCTTTTTTGGTCTTTTGGAGAAACCTTTTGAATCTGCACAGAAATTTACAATAAGATTAAGAGTTAATTCATAATTCATCATTAGATAGAAGAAGAAAAAAACATAATCATAATTAGATATATAAGAGGAGAAATCATTTACCGACTGGAAGATCTTTTGTGTTTGTTTGTAAATCGAATAAAGTAGCTAGTTATTTGCCTATATTTTTTCTCTGTCTAATATGAAAGAATCAAGAATAGAAAGAGTTATTTGTTTTTGATATTGAAAAATAAATAAATGAATGAATCTAATTCTGTTCTCTTCTTAAAGAAAGAATGTAGAGATTGTTGAGCTGTGAGAGAAGTGATGGGATACGTGAAGGTATATATAGGCAAAGGGATTTGCAAATTTAAGCGAAGGAACGTGGAAAAATCATATATAATCTAGTCAACTTGTTGCCACTACGAATGCTGACCGTTAATTTCCTTAAATTTTCGTTGGCCAAGTAATCTGCTGCAACAATTAGAGAAAATAAATGTAATAAAAATAATAATAATGGTCACTTGCGGTCTTGCGCCGTGTGATATTGAACCAGCTAGATTACTCCTATCTTGACTTCTATACTTAATATATTAATAGAGACATAACATAAATTAATTAATACAGTGCCGGGGATATCCCTTTGCTATAGTAGTCTTCGATTTTGATTGATTGATTTGATTTCGAATATTTGCACGATCATTTTTTATTGAATAGTGCTGAAAACGGCTTCCTCAACCCCCTTCTCCACCAATTGTCTAATCATCATCATCTACGTACTTCGTCCTATAAGGACGATTACATTTTGATATAGATCGTATATATACTACAGCTACATAATTATTAGAAAACTACTAATATATTGTTTTGTCAACTATTTGTAATGAATGGCTAGTTTTATGAGTTAGACCATCTCTAATGAAGATTTTTAAGAAGATTATTTTAATATTAAAAAAAGAAAAAATGAAAAGTAAGAAAAAATATAAAAGATAAAATTCTAAAATTTTTCAAATAAAAACTGGTTTTTAAGCTTTTAAGATATCTATTTATATAATTGTCTTATAATTTTTTTAGATATTAAAATTTAATTATATATTTTAAATTATAATAAAATAATTGTTAAAATACTTGTTTAAAAATTTTATCATTATCGATGCTCTTAGTAGTTGTATTGGTAATAAGGGAACGGAGAAATTTGAAACGAAAAAGTACATACTTATCCAATTTCCCATTTTGCACCTCTTTTGCATTTATACATTGGGGAATTGTGTGACACGTGATGAAAAGTGCTTGTTATTATTTACGTCAGTATGTTGACTTAAAAAGTCCAATTTATTTTTTACCGCAAAAAGTCAAGGTCGTTGCTCAACTTTTTTGACAAAAATTGTTCACAGACACTCACTTAGGTATACAAGCCCTTTTTCACTACCCATACGAACACCTCAGACGTTTAACTATTAGTTTTAACAATTGCGATTTGGTCGTATAGTCTATAAAGATCAATGTATGTTCACTGTTCACATACATTGATGATTGATACACTGAGAACTCTCGTTGTTATAACCTCTCGCGTTGCGTTTGTCTTTAACCAAAAAAGATAGATCACGATTTCAACACTGTTTACCCCACATGATAATGTGACACAAATTCTAGATTTGATATTATTAGGAGAAATGTGAATTTTAATTCTTAATCAAAAACTGACCGGCTGTTAAAATTTGAGGAAATTACAAAGAAATTAATAACGACTATATAACTTTTAATTATTGGTAAACGATATTTTCAAATATAATTTACAGAGTTCTTATTATTTTGATTTTTTTAATATTTAGCAGATACTTTGAGAAATAACTTTACAGATTATTTGTATTCTTCGATCTCAGAGATGAGAAATGCCAGTTTAGGTTTATCAATCTTTATTTAATATAATTGACGAGTACACATAAAAATAAAACAACAAAAAAGGTGATATATGGGCTTGATTAGGTCATAAATACAAAATTCTGCAATGTCACATCAATCATCTCACCGCTGTCCTCTTGGTTATTGGATTGTAAATCTATCTATTCATATACAAGTTCATTTATATTATATATAAATCGCATGCATAATCGCACATGTTGGATGAAGCCGACTTCAAAAGGGATAAGCATTTATTATGTGTTGAATAGTAAACTCAAGGAAAGTGCTATGAAGTCCGTGGCACAACTTTGAACACTTGCCAACCAAATCCAACCATCACAGACTGTCTTATTTCGTAGAAACCGCAGAAGTTGGTATTTTTCGTAAGGGTGTCCAAAGAAATGGGGATATATTATGAAATGCCGCAAAACAAAAATTTTGGACTTATACGTAGTAATAATAATATTATTATTAATAATAGTAAAAAAAAAACATTTGGCATGCAACCTTTTTGGACCGCCTTTGTAGTGGAATCCCCTACCAGTCTACCACTTGGCACTTCGAATTTTCTTCGTTTTCTATGTGGTAAGGGTATTTTCGACCTTTATTTTTTTTGAACTTTTAATACCTTTTCATAAGTTTTGTAGATAAATTAGTTTTTGGATTGATAAATAAGAATCGTGTCGTTACGCAATGAGATTGGCAATGCCGTAAATCTCATTCTTTTCTTTTCCTTCTTTCGAGCTTCAATATTTTTTTTTGTAGAATATAGCTTTAATTGTTGTTATTACTAATTATGATGTGCAGACAAAACCAAATTACGTAAAGCAATCGGATATGCATGCACAATATTGTGCCGACCGTTCGTAAGACAAACCAGTCATTTGGTTCAAACCAGACGAACCAGTCTTCATTGTGGTAATAACTTATACGTTTAAGAAACAATCATCATGGACCTGAGTAGACCAGACCGGATCCAACATTGTTCTACAAAGATGAATAATGCTACCTAAAGAACAACATTCTTCATCCAAATAATACTGTTAGTGTTGTTGTTGATTCTTTGAAACCTAATTTGAACATACCGATATGATTCTTCTTTGGGTAGCATTTTGGGCCTTAAAGTCGTTTGTCGAAGACAATTTTGAGCCTTAAGTCTTTTGTATCAAAAAATGATTACTTAGGACATATTTGTAACGTTTTGGGCCTTAAGTTCTGTGACAGACAATTTAGTGCTTTGTATTTTGAGATTTTTATTTTCCAAAAGTTTTTTAAACCGGGTTTCAGGTTTTGTTAAATAAAAAACTAAGCTGGTAATTATGAGAAGAAATATACCCTAACAAGAGATCTATGAATCCCTCCAAAACAAACTGATGTTTAGAGGATTGATGATGAATAATACTAATGGCATATCAAATGTACAAATCGATTTCATCTTCTGCTTCTTTTATTTGGCTGTTGATTGTCTTTTCCTGATTCCCTACCTCGTTTTCCTCTAGCTGCAGCAGTCACTTCCTCTGCTTCTTTTTTCGATTGTTTTCGTTTCAGTGAACTCTTGTTACTGTTGTTCTCTACCTCAGCCTTCTTTTTAGCCGCGCTGTTACTCCTCAATTCTCTCGGTTTCGCTTTACTGTGATCTCTCTTAACGTTTCCGTCACTCTTCTTCTGATCTTTACTCGTTGTTTCTTTTCCTTTCTGTGGAGAGTTCTTTTTTATTCGCCTCAAGAATTCAGCCGCACTCTTCTTCTTATCTGATGGTACCGCTGCTGTCTTTTTCCGTGTCTTAGGTGTCTCTTCCTTATCATCATCATCATCATCTGATGAATCTGTTTTCGAATCGATTTGTCTCTTGTTATTAGTTTTGGCTCTTCCCATTTTGGTATCCTTGGAAACAACATCCATACCTTTGCTCGTTCTCCTCGACCTTCTTGCTGCAGTATTAGTAGTAGTCACAGTCTTCTCCTCTGAAACTTGCATAGATTTCTTCTCATCTTTTTGTTTAAGGCTTGAAGAAGGAGAAGTCTTTTTCGAAGGAGAAGTAGTCTTTTTCGAAGGAGAAGTCTTTTGCGAAGGAGAAGTTTTTTTCGGAGGAGAGGTCTTCTTCATACAGGCAACAAGAGAAGGAGCAGAGGATTTCTGTCCAGTAACCGATGATGATTCAGCCTCTGCTTTGTGACCCGGTTTTACGGTTGCTTTCTTCAATTCGTCAGAAAGTAGAGTTTTTAGTTCTTTTGCAGCCATGGATTCGGAGGAAGATGGTGGAAAGAAAACAATGGCGTTTGTGAAGAGAAGCTTGAGGTCTCTGTAAAAAGAGAGACTTGAAGAAACGTACGATCCTTTCTCCATCTTCTTCTCTATAGTTTTAATGTCCAAATGCTGCCTTATCAATCTCTTGTAGTCCTTCGTCTCCTGCGGAATGATAGACACCAAAAAAAAGTAAGTACTGGGCTTCAATGTGTAAATATTTCGAGCCTAAAGCCCAACTAAAGTCCAAAAACTGTCGGCTTAAGGGCGGCTGGAAAGTCAATAAGTTGACCATTATCCTGAAAAACACGACAAAGCCATGCTTCAACGGGAAGCTGCCAGGTGTCCAAGGTTATGTGACCGAATAGTAAACGGAGTCAAAGAAAAAACAAACAAATTTTCACTTCGACGAAATTTTCTGTGTTTCTGTAACAAGAATAAACGTTAAAGTGGGGCGCTCCCAAAGGAAATTTATTTCACTGTTAAAAAACCCATTAAATCAGATAAGGAATTGAAAATTCAAGGATCCAACACACACGGAAACATCGATACGATGCACAGAGATATTTGCTACCATATGAAGAATTATATACGTATAAATGTCATAATAATAACAAAAACTAAAGCGTAATTCGAAAATGGAGGAAGAAGGTGATGATCAGAAAAAGTGAAAAGAGTTTAATTTTCTATATAATTAAAAAAATTATCGGAGTGGTCCCGACCAAATTGGACAATGTGTGGATAATTTTATTGGTCGTTCTTGAAAATTCTGAAGGGGGAAGAAGAAAAATGAAACAATAAATCTACCATTAAATTATAACAAAAACAAAGGTTTAAAGTTTAATGTTGCATATTAGCCAATTATTCATTAAAAAAAAGATTTTTGCATTTATTTGGCGAGAATTAGTTTATTTAAATTTTGGAAAGAAACATAATACTAGGCTGGATTTTTTTTTTTATACATAGTAGGTACTACTATATATAGGCCTGATTGCCTAAATATATAACAAACTAATATAATATCGACAATTCATTTTTAGAATGAAATCATCGTCTGAATATTTTAGTAAGTCTTAAAAGATTACGATATTATATTAAGAGAATGTAATTTATACCACGTTCGTATGAATATTATTTGGACTAACAGTCGTAATAATAAAAAGGAAAAATAATTAAAATATTTAAGGTACTATGACCTTCTTTTTTTTTGTTGGCTTTGAAGCATGGAATTTTGTTTGATAACATTACGTAGGAAAATAAGGAAATATTCACGAAAAAAAAAATCGAGGAAAATAAGGCAATTGCTTACCTGGCTGCGAAGCCGAGATTCGAACACGGATCCACGAGGATGAGACCGAATCAGCTTAATGATTTTTATCAACGGCTGTGATTTATTGCCGGCCGATTTCATATCACCGCCGGTACTACTATCCTCGCCGGTTCTATTTTTCCGTCCTTTCCTCATCCCATGACCTGTGGACGTTCCCGATTCGCCCAACTCGCCCGAGTGACTCATCTCCGATCTTCTACTAACCGTTACTTCTTCTCCCTCCACCGCCTCTGCCTTGGAAACGGGATCAGGTTCTGGATTTTTCGAATTCTCGTTAGCTTGAACCTTTCTACCCCCGCATAACCGCTCGTGATCGGCGATTTTATCGACGGAGGCTGTCGAATTCGACTCGTTCATCGACCGGTTGTCAGACTCCGTCGTCTCCCGGTTAAGCCTCGTCGGTTCTGTTTCGTTGCTCCGCGATCTAACTGCCGCAGAGTCGTCTTCCAGATCTGGTTTATTGTCTTTATCATTTCCGTCTTTCTCCTCCTCTAATTTCTTAACTTTTAACTGAAGCGACCTAATCAAAAACAAAAAACATAACCAAAAAAAAAATTCAAAAATGATTACTTTTAAAAAAAAAAAGCTCAGATCCAGCGGCGGAGAAATAGAGACTCTCCGTACAGTATCGAGTCGTCACATCGCTGAACCTCTCGCCGGAGCTCCGCCACACGAAGACTCCGTAACTTCTCGAGCCAGGGGATTTCACCGTCTCTATCCTCCTCCACAGCCGCTTCGGTATTATTTTCTCCGTCGTCGTCGACGGAATCTTGGAACCGACGTTTGAGATCTTGGTACCTAAGCCGGCAATTCGAGGCGGAGGCGTCGAGAGAACTCCGCGACCCAACCTCCTTGGCGACGGAATCCCAGTCGCTATCACCATGGCGCTTAACGGCGCATGTTAACAAAAGCTCCTCCCACGTTCCCCACACTTGACTGATCTGATTGAGATTACAGTTATCGTCTCCGATACGATTGTTATCAGAATCACTGCAGCTGTATATATTGGTAGTATCGTCGTCGTTCATGGCGTTCGATGTCACTGCTTCTTCTTCCTTCATCATCTCCTCCTCCCCTTCACTAGCCTAACAAACAACACGCTCGCAGTTTTTAGGGATTTTTAATTTTAAAACAAAATTGATTTTTTTAATTTTTTATATCTCTCTGTCTCTCACCCTGTGTTGGATTTGAAGCCTTTTTATATATGAACTTTATAACCAATCCTTTTGAAAATAATAATTAAATTTTTTTAGGTCTCCTCTCCATATGAAATGATGATATAGACCTACGTACACAATTTTCACCTTTGCTTTACCCATTTTGTGTTATATATAATCAGTAATAACGAATCGGGTCAAGCTGGATCAGGTCGGGTCACCCAACTCTGCCTCGCTTCGTGTGCAACCGTCTACGGAGGAGAGTAAGGGGAAGGTAGAGATATTTACAGGAATGCCCCCTCTTGGGTTTCTGTAAATGGAATGTTCATTTTCATTCGATATTGGTAAATGTGAGAGACTGGGTATGGAAATTATCAACTTCAAATAGATATGGGCCTTATATGATGGGCCTTAATTGACTGAACCGGTTCCTCTACATTTTTCCGAAACTAATGGCGACAAAATTCAACTGGAGCGGGATCGTTCATGCATCAATAATTATTATAAAGATTCTTATAATCTGCAAGAAAAGGAAAACAATTTTAAATCGTTACCAAAAAGTGCAGAAGTATAATAATCACGTTTAGTACACACACATGAAGGATTGTGTGATACAGAGTTACAGACAAGGCTTGATGGGTTTGATGAGAAAAGATTAATTAAACCCATCACTAAATAAATCAAACAAAATATTTCACACGAACGAAGTTAAAAGAGTATCTGTGTCGGGGGGATTGAGCGAGCGGGTTGACTTGTTTGTCAAGGTTGTTGAATTAGAATTTAGTGCATCTCAATCCAAAACAGACCGTTTATTCAATTGTTGACATTATTGTGTTTCGGGAAGAACCAATAAGAAAACTCCGAAGAAAATTGTATAATGATTTTTAAAAAACGTTATAAAAGCTACCCCATCAAGTGGAAGAGAAGGCTGGATTGATGAGAGAAAGAGAATGAACCTCTTGACCAACACAGTAAGGGCAACTCAGCGGTTCAAGCGAATGAAGTTATCGAGCCAGTCCATGTTTACACTTTTGGGCCTCTCAAGTGGCAGCCCAAGAGCTCGGTCCCATATCAGCTGAAACCAAAAGAAGGCGACAAGTTAAGTTTGAGTTTGTTGTGATGGGATCTAATGATCATCTGTACTAAATGTGAATTCTCTATAGCACAATGTATGTATGTTACCTGTGAGCAGATCCCAATACTCCTTGAGACGCCAAAAAGAACCGTGTAGTATCTATAATTTGTTACCAAAAATAATGTCACTCTATTCAGCAGAAAAGAAGGCCTAAGCCTAGTCACATTTTACATGAGACTGTGATTCATACCTTGCTTCGGTTAGACCATAATAGTTTAGCAGCACTCCACTGTGAGCATCAACGTTAGGCCACGGGTTCTTGACCTGTAAAAGCGATTTACAGATTCATAAAACCAGAGATGATGAGAAATCTGGTAGCAAATGAAGTGATGATGGAAATAGTTTACCTTTCCTAGCTCGGTTAGAATAGGAGGGACAACTTCATAAAGCTTTGACACCTATCGATTTGAATGATATATGTGAGCCAGTGAGAGTTTACTAGAGCTTGACCATAGATTAAAACTTAGAAAATGAAGTTACCAGCTGAAATAGAGGGTCATTAGGTAGATGTTTCAAGGCGAATTCTCTTTGGCATACATATCTTGGATCCGTCTTACGCAAAACACCATGTCCATATCCTGGAACTACCTGCATGGCAAAAGTTTGGTTAACTATACTTGCAACATTCTCTAGAAAACCTCACATATCAATTCAAAAGCAAAGTAGAGCACTTGTTTCATTTTTTTTCACCTTGCCACTGTTTAACGTTTTCCAAACATACTCTTTTAGCTGTTCCTTTGATATGTTTTCCCCACATTCCTCGACAACCGATTTGATCCACAGCAACACTTCCTGCAACAAGACCATGCAGAAAAACAGTTTAAGTAGGTATATAGAAGTTGATTTGAACAATATATAAGATTCACTCAGGAAACATTTAAAGTAGGTACCTGATTAGCCAAACCATGGAGTGGTCCAGCTAAACCATTTAATGCAGCTGCAAATGAAAGATATGGATCTGAAAGTGCGCTCCCAACCTAAGCGAATAAAAAACATCACAGCCAAAAGAAAAACCATCAGAAATGTCAAAACATTGAGAGTATAAACATAAGTGAAGTTTACATACCAGGTGACCAGCGTGAGCACTAACATTTCCACCTTCATGATCACTAAAACACAAACGAGTAGAAAAGAAAACCGTTATCATGCTATGGAAATTTTGGTGAAAGAAAATCATAATATACGAGAAATCTTTAGCATCCAAAACTAAGAGAAGCAGCACAAAACCTGTGAATAGTGACATAAAGCCTCATGAGCTCTTTCATCTGAGGACTATCAAATCCCAGCATGTGTGAAAAATTAGCACCATAATCCAAAGAATCATCTAAAGGAATGATGCTACCATCCTTGTACATCCTGTATAATATTAAGTAGAGCTAGTATGTAAGTTCAAGAAGATGAGTAAGAAGAAGCCTGATTCCAGAAGACACAAAAGTCTAACCTCCGATAAACGTATGAAGCTACAACAGGAACACGAGCAATCAAGTTGAGGGCATCCTCAAAGGTTGGCTCCCAAAACCTGCAAGGACAACCTCAGCTTTTTGTTTTGCCAGAGCCAAAAAGAAAAATATTGATCGAGTTTATACTTTGACTTATGAACAACACCCTCCTCATATGCCTTTTGGAACTCACTTTGAACCTGGATATAATTCCAACAAGATAAGATAAGATACTTCTGAAAATTAGCTACTTCAAGAGATAGATAGACCAAACTAGTAAAGAACAGATCCATCCACCTGTAGGGCCATAACACCGCTAGCAAATTGAGCCATTGGATGAGCTGTCGAAGGCAAAGCATCTATAGCTTTGTAGACGTAATCTGCAATGGAAGTTAAGTATGCTTGAAACAGTCATAAAGCCCGGTTTCAACAAAAGTTTTGGCAACTCATTTAAACTGAGGTCACAAACAAACAGATCAGAGATGTGAAGTACAAAGTAGAAACCTGGCACAGCCGCACGATCCGCCAACTCTTTTGACAATGCATCAACTTGCTCTTTGTTTGGTACCTATATCGGAACGCTATAATTTAAGATCATATATTAAGGGAAACAAAATCGTTATGATACATAACGTTAAGAAAATCACACCTTTCCAGTTAAAAGAAGCCACAGAAGACCCTCAGGCAAGGGCTCTCCTCCAGGCTGAGCTGCAGGTAATACTTTCTGGCACTCAGGAATCGACAAGCCTCTAAAGCGTATCCCCTGAAATCGATATCAGAGCATATGCTATAATATTGTCTGAACAAAGACAAGAGCCTATGTTATACTCTGTGTCTATGAACAAAAAGACATGCATGCATACCTCTTCTGCATCAAGCAATGAGGTCTCCCAGAGTAATCCAGTCATCCCTCTCATCCCACCAAGTACCTTCACAAATGTTGCATATATAAAGTGAATAATGTAATGTGAGAATCAAAGCCCTTATTATAAAACAGAGCAAAACAAGAAGAAGAAAAATTGTTAGAATCCATACCATATCTACAGTGATTTTCCCCACTGGGACATTTCCATGTTCTGATCTCAGCTTCTTTAGACGCTCCTGTTGCTCTGGAATGATCTCTTGCAGATGCGACTTCAAGTCCTGCATTACCATTTTTGGACACATCAACGTACATAAATTCTGGGAAACCAATCATAACAAGGAAACAAAGAGAGCATTCTCTATACAACAACAACAAAACAAAAAAACTTCCAGTTACTTTACATTATAAATTCACTATATTTTTTCATTTCAAAATGAATCAACATGAAAACCTAAAAGTTACCAATTCGGAAGAGCTCTGCATCTGAAGCCATCTGACGGAGTTACAAAGTGAAGATTGCTGCACCTGCTTATATTAGATCCAATCATCAATCAATTCGCATTATATAAAAAGTCAGCAAAAAAAAAAAATAAACAAAAGGGGAAATCAAAATCTACTCACGACTCGAGACTGAATCCTTGAGATGGCCGATACGCCGCGAAAAAACACCATTCTTCAAAACTCAAACCTAATCACCAATTTTTTCTCAAACAAAACTGATCCGTTAGTAATCCGAGCAATCAACATTCACCAAAATGGCGAAGAAAAAAAGGCCTACGTATGATTTCTATGAAACGCAAACTTTGATCAGAGAACCCAGTTTACCGGAGAATTTTAGATTCCGGCGGAAACCGAACAAATGAAAAACAGAAGTCTTCGAGATAGTGGGAGATGAAGGGAACACCTAAGCGTGGAGATAAATCACCGGAGATCCGAATGTTTCACGTTCAGCAAAAAATAAAAACGAGAGATGATGATTTTATGCAACGTGAGGAACAAGTGTTTGTGTGATTGATCATCAGATAGATACTATAGAACTACAAATCAAAACACGGATTCTTCCTACCAAACCGGAATAATAAACCAATTAATTGCAATCTTAAAACGCAACGTATATTCGGTTCAGTTTGGTTCGTTATGGAATTATAAGTTTATAACTCATCCAAGTCCGCCATGCGTGACTCTCAAGATTCGAAGCAGCCGCAACGATTCTAAAGCCTAAATAAAAGGGCAACAGTAGAAGTAGTTTGTTTAGTAAACTTTAAAGGGTATAAAATGTACTATACTTTTGGTTTAAAATATATTTTCACAAAAGAAACAAATTCTTGAAGCCTAACATAATCTTCGTTATTATATTACTTTGGTCGCATGGGCGGTTTGAAGTTCTTATTCTTCATTAAATTATTAATAATATATAAATATTGAATGATGTAACCCAACTGTAAAATATAATGCACCTAGAAATGAATATTACTAAAACAATAAATGTCATATTAAAATATACTGATATGACACCAGTGATCATTATTATGTCATCCAAAACTAAGCTGATAACATTATTGATTGGGATTGGAAAATATGACATCCAAAATCATTTATATCAACGATACGTATTCCATTATAACTCATTGAAATCGTGTTATCATTATAAGTAACTTAATGAATAAGAAAAGAGATTTCGATCAGTTTTAAGAAAAAAGTATTTCCTACAATTTTTTTACTATTTATGCTCATATATATATATATATATATATATAAAAAAATATAAATATTTATGCTTAACTTTCTTTTCTTAACAGTATATAATTGTATCGTCTTGGTATTCATAATTTATGTAAAACATATGAAGTGTGATTCCACTATAAAATTTGTATATGTGTATTAAGAATATCGCATAATAGAGCATAAGTTTTCTTTTCTTGTAACGATAATAAAGCATAACTTTCTTCATTTATATAATAAAGTCAGAACTCTTTCAGCGTAACCATATAAAAATTATGATTTCATGACCCTTTTACAATTTCATTCCCGTATAACCTATTACTTATCATTAATGTAAAGAACATAACAACTCAATCGTAATATTAGTCTCACGTTTTTTTATTTATAAACTTGCGCAACGCTAAAGACAACCACACATACATCAAAGGAATCAATACACGCATGCGTGAGTACAACGTGTTACACCAATTTTAAGTAGAGATTTACATGATGGGTGATCAAAACTCAAACGTACCTTATCTTGGTAAAATCAGTCTACCAGGTTAAACTCTTCGCTACACTCTTTCTTGGCAAAGTCAGTCTACCAAGTTAAATAATAAAACACCCCCCAAAAAAATCCAAACATGTGTATATCTATACAAATTATGTACCCCTACATATATGTATCTGAACCTCGTGCATCACGACGGTCAATATCAATGCCTCAAAGTCTCAAACCATATCCCAAATCAAATAAATGATTAAATCATCAGTACCAATAGTAATCACGATATTAGTAGAACCCCTAGCTAGAGGTTAGGGCAAGGTGTGACCGAGTTTAATTATTGCTCTTCAATATCAAACCATTGACTTGAGAACAAGCAGTCGTCTTGATCAAGATCTATCAAACCCTCTAAATCAAAGTAAGTGTTCGTGTTCGAACCTGATCCCCATTCTTCCTTCACCACTTGGCTCCCAATAATCCCGTTGACCAGCCCCGCCGTATGTTCTTCGCCGGATTCTTGAAATGGAAGCGGTGGTGCGGAAAAATTTGTCCTCGTTATCTTTTTCTTAGAACCGGTTTTGACGATCTCCGGTTTTCCGGTCAGACTTTGAACGAGTGTACGGAAATTCTTAGCGTCGGTGTTGATAATCTCCGGCGCAAATATATGGATGATACGGATCTTAGGCTTGATCTTGGTAATCATTTGGGAGTTCTTGTTCATGGGAACCAAAGTTTTTGAATAATCTCCATAGAAGCTTTGACGAGGAAGGTAATCAAGATCGCACTCAGCCTTCATTGAATCTCTCACCATTCAGACAAAATAAAAGATTTGGTTTATTTTTTGGATCTTTGAGGTTTCTTTACCGTTTCAAGAATTAATATGCAATTGTTTTGGATTATCTGCGTCTGTATATATACACAGAGAAAGATGTGGATATGGTAGAAGGATGATAAAATATACAACTAAAATGTTGGTTGGTCAAAAACATTAATAAAAGAAACATTTATTAACTACAAACTGTATATGAAAATAGTAAGAAGTATAGGACGAAATAGCTATGTACCTGCCCTCCATTACACACATAACAACAACTTGATTTAAAAACCGTAATTTCTTCAAGAGAATGATCTGTTTCTTTTACGCTATCGAAATAAAATGTTTTTTTAGTTTTCCAACTGATATTATATTAAACAACCAAGTAATTATGTAAAAACATTGATGGCGTCAGCGATGTTTTTATAATAATGATTATATGGGGTTGACTTAGCTTATCGACTTTACCCTTGGATGCGAATTTGACTTTGTTTTATTTACGAATTTGTTAATTGTCGGCATAATTGATCTAAAAAATGACTTGTGGAAATAGGGTTTCTTCTAGTAGTTGTAAATATCTCTCTATATACTCAACCTACTTTTAAGTAATTGTTTATTATCTGCGGTAAACATCGTCTTTTATATGATGCATATATACAAATACAAGGATTAGGAAAAAAACCGACAGAAAAAGAAGGGCGCAATTTCTATGTGACATTGTTTGTACTTAATAACTTAACAAACACGACAGACACTCGTCGCACGTGATATGTGCTTTCAAATGTGCACGTGCAAGGCTTTTGGTTGATTTTTCCATTATATTAACTATTCAAGGCTCAAACAAACACAACGGCCGATAATCATACGGAGAGGTCACATAATTCTATTTTCCGAATTAGTAAATTATTATTATCATACTAACATCAATCGAGTTTTTTTTCTCACAACTTGAATGTTGCATCAACCGAGTTAAAGGTCAATTCTAATTAATTCTGAATATATGACATTAGTTGACATTGGCGTGTTAGATTATTTTAAAATTTATAGAAATTTGACATTTGTGTGTAAGTAGCTATATGAACTATGATATATTGTAAGGTTTAAAAACATATTTCTTCAGTCTTTGCTTGATGTTTTTTTTGACAAAACCATTGTTTAATGTTGATACGCGGGATTGTATACTTCATATTCTAGTGTCGTTATTGTGGCTAGCTACCAAGTTTATTTTTTTATTTTTTGACAACAACCAAGTTTAATTAAATAAGATAAAGAACCAAACAAAAAGTATTTGATCATTAACCTAATTGGTTTTTATTATTTTTTATTATTCAAAAAATTATGTACCATAATGTTCAAAAAAAAAAAAAAAAATTATGTACCAAGGTTTGTAATCTTCCCGAACCAAAGCACTAGCTAGGTCAAATTCGAAACCATTAACTAAACACACTGACCAGCTGATTCATCAAACGCTGTATAAAATTTGCTTATTTGCTTCTATTTACGGCCACTCATTAGTCATTACTACATAACTCTTGCAACTATGTGTATTATAAGCGTGAATATGAAATTCATCAAAACATAATTTAACAACAACTGACATAGTAGGTTGATATTTTTTTTCCTTTAACACATTTCATCAACAATTTTTGTTTTCACATCAGCGATAATTGTTTTTTCTAGTAAATAGGAATGGATATCCGGAAGTCCTAGTAAAACTATTAAAAATTTTGTTTATAATATCCAAAAACATAAGCAAAATTAAATAAAAGCGAGAATCAAATAACATATGATTTTTTTTGTTGTTGCCTGGGACAAACGTAAACCAAAACCAAAAGGTCCAAAACATGTGGAATGAGGTCTAGTACTCCGGTTAGCGGGAAATAGATTGGGTAACCCACAATTACATTTTCCAAAAAAATACAACCTCGTCGCAAAAATAATACTTGAAAAATGAAAAACATTGAACAATCATTAACTTTACGTTTATTTCATCAATTATTGCATCGGAATAAGAGACCATGATTTGACTAAAACCATAAACATAAAACAACTCTCGTTTCTGTGACATAATTAATCAAGAATCGATTAAAAAGGCCGAATCTGTTAATAAACCCAGAACAGAGATTAACCAAAAAAAAAAAAAAAAAAAAACTCAAGAACACACACACACACACAGACGCTTATTTGATTTTGAAACTTTTGCCAGTTATTTCGAAAGCTTTAAACCGTTCTTACAATGGCGTCGCGTTGCTTATCTCTCCGTCTCCCTCTTCCCTTCTGATAGGGATTCCCAGACCTGAAACCGTCCGAGCCAGATTTCTCTCCATCTCTCCCACTCCCAATCTCATCTGCTCATGGCGACGAGCGAGTCGCCTCAACGCATTTCTGATTCCAAGCCAATCGTCTTCCTCCTCATCTCCGTCGACAATCGTAGCCAGATCCGACAATCGGATCCTCATCTCAGCCTCTGAACCACCGGTTTCAACGTTAGCCGCCGTGGGGAGCTCGAACCGGCAGAGCGGACACGAGTTGTGATCCGAGAGCCAAGGGACGATGCAGTCGGAGTGGTATATATGACTACAAGGCAACCGCCGAGCGGATTCTCCGACGGAGAAATCCTCTTTGCAGACGGCGCACAGCAAGACGGATTCTGGATCGGGAACTGAGTCATCGGTTGAGCATATCATGGATGACGAGATCTGGATCGTAGGAATCGAATCGATATCCGACGATTTCAACAACGAAGAAGCAGAGGAAGAAGAAGAGGACGAAGACGATCCGGAATTTTCGGAGGCGAGATGGCGGAGAAGACGGTGGAGGTAAGGGCTGTCGAGGAGGAAATTATCATCGGAGTTAACTATCGGATCAACAAAACACCAATCCTCCTCATCATCATCCTCATGATCTCCATCTTCTTCCTCAAAATCACCGATGGTAACGTCAAAGAGAGTGGGAGAAGTTTCGTCATCCATACGTTCGAGAAAATCGAGGCGGCATTGGGGACATAAGAGAGGAGAGGAATCGGAGGAGGATGAAGAGATGAGCGATAGACTCATATCGCATTCGTGACACCAATAAGTTCGCCGATCCGGCTCGCCGTGGACGGTGGTTGTGGAAGACGACATTGGGAAGTGGTGGTGGTTGTGTGAGAGAGAGAGAGAGAGAGAATGTGAAAAAAAAGAAGAAGAAAAAGATTAGTGGTTGTGGTGGTTTCGTACTAGTGATAATGGATCCATGATTGGTCAGAAGCCTTTCAAGGCCTCATTCATAAGCCTATTTTGGAGTTCTTATTTGCATTTTTATAAAAGTGAATGAATTAAAGTTGGTTTCAAAGGGCCCACCATTTTTACTTGGCTTTTCTCGGAAGGTTTGGTAGTGGGTCTATCTCTCTATTCTCTAAAGTTTTTTTTAAGTCTTTTTTTTTTTTTAAATCTATTTGTGAAAACATTTTTCTTATTTTTGAATGTCAAAATTTGATCGACTGTGAATCTCGCCAAATAATTGTATTTCTGAAATTTGTTTCTCTTATTCTTTTTGAGGTTAAGAACAAATATTGTAAGTGTTTTTTGCATTAGACCAAGGGTTTAAACTGTCAAATATGTGATCTAAAGAAAAATATAAGTGCTTTTTTTTTTATTGTAATAGTTCATTGTGGTCTTTTTATATGTTGTAGTCTAGAATTTTTCTTTAATAGTGAGTAAGTAGTTCGATGAGTATATAATAATTGAAATAGTGTAAGATGCATGCAGATAACAAAAGTCGCTTTGGCCGAGTGGTTAAGGCGTGTGCCTGCTAAGTACATGGGATTTTCCCGCGAGAGTTCGAATCTCTCAGGCGACGATTAATGTTTTTGTAACGTGACGTTATTTGTATAATTCGCTAATTTGCGGTGGCGTCTAAATGCTGCTGCAACGTGCCTTCTCGTGTAAGCCTCAAATTAAGGAGCAAGACACTGAGACAAGACCACAGAGAGATCCCAAAATCACACAACACCTTTCCAAAGAGTACGGTTTTGAATTGTTTTCTTATCCGATGAAAGTATGTGCCAGAGTTTGTAAGTACGTTGATAGATTCCAGTTGCCGAAAGATTTCAACTTTTTCTAAAGAATCTCTGACAAATTTCAACCATCCACTGATCTATTCAAGTAAAATTCCAAAATTTGATCATATTGCTATAACCAAATCTGGAAAAAACCAAACATGTCAGCATGATTTCCCAGGCCATCCATTCTGATCACTGTAATTTTATAGATTTTCCAACTTCCAATTTCGAAGATTTTAATATAATAAAATCAAGTTTCCAACTAAAGAAAACGTCTAATGAGCACATAATGACGTATGAAGAAAGGTATTAGGGAAAGTGGGAAGAGTGTACAAAATGAAACCAGCTTCTCGCTGTCCTCTTATGCTATTTTTCCCCTCCTTTGGGGGAAAGAAACCTGTAGCTTTTGGGGAATCTTCTAAATCAATCTCCCATTTGATTCTGAGTCTCGGGTACGAGAAAGCTCCTTGCTTTATACATTTTTTTGTTCATGGTTATGAAATTTCCCCTTTCCTCTGTTTTCTAGGTCTGAAAGTTCCTATTTTTATTTTTTTTCTCGAATCAGGGCTTGAAATCTCAATTCCCTTCTCTTTTCTCGAATTCGATCTCATTGACGAGTTTGGTTGTCTATTGCTACGGATTTTCAGGTCTTAGATTGCTAAAAAAAACCTCAGCTTTTGTTGGCAAATTTCGAGGCGGTTGAGAAAATGGCCGGAGGGAGTGAGGAGGATCCATTCACAAAACCCATTGGAAGATTGTCTGTGTTCTTTTATGGAGTTGGGCATATGCTTAATGACATTACTGCTTCTTGTTGGTTCACTTACCTCCTCCTGTTCTTAACCCAAATCGGTCTATCACCAAGGTGAGAGAAAAATTCCATCTTAAATTCCGACCAGAGGGATTTGTGACAATTCACTCACAACCGAACTTTTGTCCTTCTGTAGAGATGCAGCCATTGTTATGCTCTCTGGCCAAGTTGCTGATGGGTTTGCCACTATCTTCACTGGTGAATTGGTACCGTAGAAACTTATCACTTCTCTGCTTCTGATTTAGCCACATTAGCTTGTTGTTTCTGATATAGAGTTAGAACAGTTTTGGTCTTCTGTTATGGCAGATAGATAGGTTTGGGCATTTCAAGATTTGGCATGCTGCAGGATCAATACTGGTTGCTGTATCTTTCTCCTCTGTTTTCGGAGGTTGTCTGCCATGTTCGATCCTCCATAACGACTCTTTAACTCTCGAAACCTTCTCCTATAGCATGTTTGCAGCTATCTTTAACATAGGATGGGCTGCTACTCAGGTTTCCCACATGTAACCTCCCTCTTCTTTCTCATCTCTTTCACTTTGTCTTTAGCGATATCCATTGTTTTTGCTCTTGTTTGTGTGTGTGAGTGTGACTCTGTGGCTGCTTAACTACTCTCCAGGGCTATGGTTAATTGCATTTCATTGAACTCTACAAGCAGAGTAGCGTTGACTAGCTGCCGTAACGCGTTTACTATGGTCAAGCTCTTTCCCTGAACTACTGTGTTTGGTACCACATATGTTTCTTTATGTGGTTTAACAATGACTATATGATTTTCTTTTCAGGTTGCTAATCTTGGCTTATATGCGATTGCTTTAGTAGTCTTCGGCGTTATCAAAGCTGGGTCTAAAGAAAATACCGAAACTCAGGTTTCATACTTTGTGTTGATTTCTCCATTATGTGTATATCTATTGGGAGTAAGTGTGTTTCAGTATTGATTGCGTGTTTGTCTCTTTTAAACTCTGCAGTATCGCTGGATTGCGTATTCATCTATCACAATCGGATGCTGCTTTGTGATCATATTTCTTATGGGGACAAAAGAGCCGAGGTTTGCATATGCTCAATCCTCTTGAGTTCTGGATTTTAACAAGAGATTTGTATAGTTATATGAATGTTTATATATCTTTAAAAGGATGAGGATAGACTTAAGAGAAACTAGCCGAGCAAGAACACCGTGGGCCTACTGGTTTCGGAAACTTCTATACTATCAAGTCGCTATGGTTTACCTCCTCACTCGATTAGTATTGAATGTTTCTCAGGTCTGTTTCTCCTTTCTTTCTTAAATTCTGTTTATGTTCGTATCAGCATAGATTCTCACACCAAGTGTTACATTCCACCTTCTCAGGCATATCTTGCATTCTTCGTTATAGATGATTTGCAAATGGATCAATCCGCTAAAGCTTTGGTAAAAAAGCTTTTCCCTTTTTTCATCTGATCATTTTAGTTCTATACAATTACTCTCTCTTGATGAAATGGTAGTATTATTCAGGTTCCTGCAATTATCTATATCTGCAGCTTCGTTGTTTCAGTCCTGCTCCAGGTTCGCATTCTCACATATCCCTTCTTCAGTTATGTCCAAAAGCTTCTCTTTTTCATCCTCCCGTGTAATAATAATCATAACAACGTAGGAGATTCCGTGGAACGGGAATCGCTTAAAGGCGTATTATTCAGCTGGTGGTATTATTTGGATGTTCTGTGGTGCAGCCATCCTTCTATTGCCTAGAGACATTAGTTCTTTCATGTATGCGATCTCCGTCTTTATTGGCATCGCGAATGCATTAATGATGGTATAAACGATGTTTCTCTTCTACTGCTTAATTTGAAAACACACAATCAGTTTTCTGAACCATTCTTTATATACAATCCCACAGGTTACAGCAATCAGTATGCAGAGTGTGTTGGTTGGTGCGGAAGTCGGTGGATGCGCATTTGTCTGTGGTTCCTTAAGCTTCTTGGACAAAATGTCTTGTGGACTTGCTCTTTATGTTCTTCAGTCACACCAAAGTAAGTTCCTTTTTCCTGGAAGCAGAACAAATTGCTCTCACGGTGTTTAGCGGTTTTGCTGAATTATGTTTTGGGGGTTTGCAGGTACTTCACCTAGAATCCAACTGAACAATAACCAGCAAAGCGTTTATCTTTCGGTTACGAGATACGGTTTAGGTCTTGTTCCAGCGTTGTGCTCGTTCGTTGGTGTCGCTGTAACGTTCTTCATGGAGCTCGAAGCTCCTGGGTCACTGTTGAAGCCTCTGCGTGAACCGTTACTGGAATGACAAAATATGATCTGTTGCGGTTAACTTAAACCAGAATGCTCGACCGTTTCGTTTTTCTAAACATGTTTGATTTCAGGTCCTCTAATCTTGTTTACTATATACGGGATTCCCCCAGACTCTTTACACGATGACTTTGTACATAACAAGGATAATAGATCACACTGTGACAGCAAATTACTTGTAATCTAAAGAAATTTGGGTATAATCTGGGATCTCTCCGGTTTGATTGATTGGTTTTCTTCTTCGGTATGCCTTGCATTTTGGGTTTACCTGGCATGTAAAAGTGAAAAATATACGTGTGTTTTTTACCAATTTTGCAAACATGGTTCAATAGTTTCGAAAATGTAATTAAATTCTTAGCAAGTGTGACAGTAAATATTGACCGACCCGGAAAAAAAAACCATGAACTCAACCATTGGTAATTTGGTAGTTTGTGGTATGGGAAATTCCAAAACCAAATATAAGTTTTCTTAACCGGGTTTTCCAATTGATGAGAAAATGGATCTGGATTAGGTCCACGAAATCTGTTATTATAATGTAAACCGGGTCGGATACAGACCATTAACGCTCTAACCAAATATTATAATTTAAAAATAAAAGTCTGATATTATTTTGTTTTTTCTTTTTCTTTTATCCTTTATTTTTTCACCAGTGTAAGCCTTCTTCTTCTGCTAGAAACCCTAATTTTTGGGGCTTGTAGCAGTCAGTCGCACCTAATAATCGGCCCTGGAGCCATCGTCACCGATGAATCCGATAAGGTCGTCTTCCCGACGAGCTAGATAAGCATTTGTCTTCTGCTATTCTGACTGTTCAGGTTTGGGAACAACATTTGATTTTTTTTCTTCCTGTTAATTTGAATGTGGATCATATTGAAATTGGAAATTTAAATTCTGTGTGTTTGCAGGAAAGATCGCAGAGAATAATGGGGATTGGGATCAGATATGAACTTGGCACTTGTTTTCGGCACAAATGTAGTTCGTAAAGCTTATCGCTTTCTCTTCAGCTCCAGGAGATTCTGCAATGGGAACTTCGGTGGTGACGAAACCGATGTCGGGTTTCCTGATATAGATTTGGATTGTGGGTTCGACGAGGAAACTAGTATCAGTGAGCACGAGAGCATCGATCGAGAAGAAACCTCTGTTCGGAGTAAGTTTTTGGAGAGTGCCAAGCTTGGCGCGTCTCGGGTTCTCGAGACATTGCAGCAAGACGACTCTGGATTCAATACAAAGTCAGCTTTAGATGAATTGAATGTTAGAGTCTCAGGTCTTCTCGTTAGGGAGGTTCTTGTAGGGATCTTAAGGAACTTGGGTTGTGATAACAACACTAGATGTGCGAAAGTAGCCTACAGATTCTTCGTGTGGTCTAAGGAACAGGAATGTTTCAGGCACACTGTGAATTCGTATCATTTGCTTATGAAGATATTTGCAGAGTGTGGAGAGTATAAGGCAATGTGGAGATTAGTCGACGAGATGGTTCAAGACGGGTATCCGACAACGGCGAGGACGTTTAATCTGTTGATTTGCAGCTGCGGCGAAGCAGGTCTGGCGAAACAAGCCGTTGTGCAGTTCATGAAGTCGAAGGCTTTCAACTACAGGCCTTTCAAACACTCTTACAACGCGATTTTGAATTCTCTGTTAGGTGTGAAACAGTATACGTTGATCGAGTGGGTTTACGAGCAGATGTTAGAAGACGGGTTTTCGCCAGATGTTCTGACGTACAACGTCCTCATGTGGACGAACTATAGGTTAGGGAAAATGGATCGGTTCGACAGGCTGTTTGATGAGATGGCTCGAGACGGTGTGTCCCCGGATTTGTATACATACAACATTTTGCTGCACATTTTGGGGAAAGGAAACAAACCGCTCGCTGCTCTTACTACATTGAACCACATGAAGGAAGTAGGGATCGACCCGAGCGTCATCCATTTCACTAGCTTGATAGATGGCCTGAGCCGTGCAGGGAACCTGGAAGCGTGCAAGTACTTCCTTGATGAGATGGTGAGAGTCGGGTGCAGGCCGGATGTTGTTTGTTACACCGTGATGATCACAGGGTATGTTGTATCCGGAGAGCTCGAGAAGGCGAAGGAGATGTTCAGAGAGATGACAATACAAGGGCAGTTGCCGAATGTTTTCACATACAACTCGATGATCCGAGGGTTGTGTATGGCCGGAGAGTTCAGAGAGGCGTGTTGGTTGCTAAAGGAGATGGAGTCGAGAGGGTGTAACCCGAATTTTGTAGTGTATAGTACATTGGTGAGCTATTTAAGAAAGGCAGGGAAGCTTTCTGAGGCTCGCAAGGTAATAAGAGACATGGTGAAGAAAGGACATTATGTTCATTTAGTTCCAAAGATGATGAAATATAGAAGATGATAGTTTTTTTTTCTTTTTTGTTAAATTTAGGTTGTTTGTTTTCTTCTTCACCTATTTTTGTAACATTATATTCTTCTTCTTTTCCTAAAAATTAGCCAAGGAAATAAGAAAAAATTAGCCAAGGAAATAAGAAAAAATTGGTTCTTGGATAGAGAGGAACATGCAAGGTTGGGGAGGAAGAACTGTGGTGTGTTCCTCTGTTTACAAAACGGTGCGTTTTATTGTCAAAACGTATCGTAATAGTTATTGTTGTCAAACGGTAATGATGGTGTTCAATAATCTATTAATGGTACTACAAGATTTCCGAACAAAATTGGTCAACCAAATCTCAAGAACATTTGATTTTTATAGTACTCCTATACATTTTCAAGAGAATAATTAATAATATGCCAGCTAGTCAATTTTCAAACATTTATTTGTGGGATATCTGGAATTTAACTTATACTAGGTTACTACCGCACGAATATATTTATTATAAAACTAATTATCAAATAGTATGTTTAAGAATATTAATAAAAATTAAATTAATTTCTTTAAATTTATATATATTTATATTAATTTTATACTATATTTGTATCTATTTTTTGTATGCCGCTTTTAATCATTTTGATTTCTATAACCAAATTTAAATTTTATTTTTAATAATGGAGAATATTTTACCATGTATAATTGATATTCAAATATAATAAAATAAAGTTTGATTTTAATAAATATTATATATATTATTAAGTTTTTCGTGATTTTTTTTTATATAATTTAGGATATTATGTTAATTAGTGGATATTATGGAAATAAATATTTTTGAAATTATAAGAAAATAAGATTTCAATTAAGTAAATATGTTTATTGCAGTGTATCTAGCGATTTTATTGTTCTATTAATATTCTTTGTCAAATCTTATAAGTTCTGAATTTTATTAAGTTTATATTGATATAGATATTTCTTTTTCCTAATATTAGATATTTTGTGTTTACTTAATTATAAATTCTTAGTTATTTATTTGGGAATAAGAAATGCTATTCTAAACTAAAAATATTCTTAGAGATTTGTCATTAATTTGATTAGTTAAGATACATATTTTTACATTTAATAGAAAAAAATACTGTAGGATCCAGGTATTTTTATGGAAACTATTGATATAGTTCTTTTTTTAATTTTTATATAAATAAATAATGCATTTTTAATTAATCTCCTTTATATAAAAAGGATATATTTCTAAGCTTCTAAGGGCTGCCACATCAGCAAAAATAATTAACCAATGGTAGATTCTAAAACTGCTATGTCATTTTCTCCAACCAATAATTTAAAGTTATTTCATTAAATAATTTATTAATCAATATTTCCTCAAATTTTACCTACAATTTTTTTTTGTAATTCTTAAATTCTCAATAAAATTAAATAAAAAACAAAGCTAAAAAAAAACTGAAAACGAATTACACTAAAACTCAATTATAAAGCTTAAACAAAAGCTCATTTTATGGAGTCATCGTCTTTTCGGGTTTCCAATCATCTCGCCTCTAACTCACCAGAAACATAATCAGCAGTCACTAAACACAAATTTTACTTTTTAATTAATGACAACCAAACTGGTAATAAATAATAAAACTTAAATAAGTGGAGCATAAACATTTATAAATCCAAAAGACATAGCAATGAGGATGTCAAAAAAAAAAAGATATAGCGACGAGCCACATATGATATAAATAATACACAACTCTATGACAGATGAAGTCTAATATGTCTCATGCTTGAGATTTTTGTAAGCAACATAAAAATACAATCTCACAACTATTTTGCATTTATATTTATAATGTGAATCAAGTAGAATGAGTCTCAATCATAGTATTGTTGGAACTGGAGAACGTCTTTCTCGTCAAAAGTAAAACTTAAGGAGCGACTCAGTTTTCTTTCTTCTAGAGAAAATTAATTTATACAATTGTAAATTTTTTTGACTTATAACAGATTTCAAGTTTCTAAAGCTGATATAGAGTTCCATATTGTTCGTTGTAATCCGATATTGTGGAAAAACTGAAGTAAAAACCTAACTAAAGAACCGGTGATTAAAGACAGTTACTCACCGTTTCTTAATTTTCATTTGCAAAATTTCATAAAACATAAAACTGAAAAGATTTTTTTTTCAAATAACATATAACGATAAATTCTACACTTTTCACCAATATTGGCAAATGACTGAGCTAGCTAAACCATCAAACAAATATTATATCAATTAATAAGAAACTCATATAATAAAAAAATTTATTATTAATTGCCGTTTGCTTTCTTCGTTGAATATATGAACTAATTATAAAATATCTATGTACAGACTGAATCTTTTTAAAAAATTGATAAGTAGAGAAATGCATATTATATAAAAATTAAAAACAAAATCCTAAGATAAAATATGAAACAAAAATGGAGTAAGGATTGAGTTTTTCTTTTTAAAAGCATCAAGCGAAAGGGAAGCTTATACAAAAAGTTTTTGAAAGTATAAAAAATACTCATAGTGTTCACTAAAGAAATAGAATTATAACACAAGATGTCCAAATTTAGACAATAGATTTCTAATACAATATATAGTTCATGTGGATACTATTTACATAAACAAAAAATATAATAAAATTACATATCAAATTATTATACAAAAAGGTCAAACTTTACTCTTCATATATGCAAAAACATGCATTACCTCTTCAAAAAAGTTTAACTAAGCCAAAAGATCATTAATCTACTTTTAAATTATTATACAAAAAATTTTGATCATCTTTTCACATATACATCCTTCTGATATTTACTTCGCTCGACTATATCTAAGAATTACATGCAAATATACTACTCTATAATTTATCACAATATTAAACACAAAATTAATTGACAACCTTTTATAAAATTATAATATAATTATACAATCCACGCGTAGCATGGACAAATCACTAATAAATTAAATAAAGATTAATTCTCAGAAAAATCCTCGTGCTGACACATCAGTAAAAATGGCCAGGAATACTTTAATGTGTAGTAGATGTTTGTTCATATATTGACTAATTAAAAACACCAAACATTTTGAATCTATATAAAAACGAGCTTAGGCTAACATTTTCAAGAAAGTCCCACTTTTTTGTAAACCCTTCGACTAAATAAAATAATCCTCTCAAGTTTCATTTAAGTCATGGCCGTCCGTTACTTGGCGAATAAATGGACGGTCAGATATCTCCTGGTTGTGCTAATGGTGATCATGGCAGTAGAAGCAATGTCTGGAAAAGTTAACCTTTCTGGTGAACGAGATCAAGAGATTGAACTCAGGCTCAAGCAACTCAACAAAGCAGCTCTTAAATCCATTGAGGTACGAAAACATAAACATGAAAGTGCACATATGTTTCAAAGAATAGTTAAAACTACTAAACTACAACTCTGCAACAATCGTCTTATTAAATTTGTTTTTTTTTCTTGCGTTATTCGTTGTATTTATCAGAGTTCAGGTGGAGAAATAATAGATTGCATACCTATTGCAAATCAACCAGCTTTTGATCACCCCATGCTCCAAAACCATACGATTCAGGTTTGTATCTATAATTTTTTTTTCTTGACCTTTTCTTTCTCTGAGTTATCATTACATGACTTACGCTCTAACATATATGACTATAATATATATGGTAAAATTATATTGTAAATAGATGACACCTAGTTCCTATCCACAAGAAATTATCACTGAAGAAGACATTGCTTCAGCACCAAGCAACGATGAAGAAGTAATAGAAGATATAGCTCAGCCTTGGCAATTGGCAGGAGATTGCCCTGAAAATACTATTCCCATCAGAAGAACAACAAAAGAAGATCTTTGAAGAGAAGATTATATTAAGACTTACGGGAAAAAAACTAGTCGCTCGAATATCTCTCAGCCTCATCAATTCTATCATCCGACGGCTACCGGAGGATACGAAGACCACGAGGTATATGTCATATGTGCATTCAAATAATCAATTCTTGTTCTTGTTCATCACATTTAAACCTTGTTTATTTTGGCACTATATATAGTATGCGATCACATATGTTGATAATGGCGTTTTCCGAGGAGCTAAAGCACAGATAAATGTATGGAAACCGCGGATCCAAGAAGCCAGAGAATTCAGTGTATCACAAATATGGGTCGTAGGAGGCAGATTTGGTCCTGGTTTGAATACTTTAGAAGCTGGTTCGCATGTAATATTGATTACTCTTCCTTATTTATTTATTTACCTTTTCTCCTAATTAAATCAGTTTCTCATTATGGAAAACTAAACAAACTTAATCACAGGTTGACCCGGTTCTGTATGGTGACTGATTCCAATCCCCGAATTTTTACTTACTGGACAGTAAGTTTTCATGAACTAATAATTACATTTGCCTCTTCTTTATTTTACATTTGTACTTTTCAAATTTTAGTTACTTTTTATCAAATGAAATGATGTAATAATGACTATCATTCTTTTATATGAAAACAAAATCAGAGCGATTGCTACCAAAAAACAGGGTGCTACAATCTCCTCTGCTCAGGCTTTGTTCAAATCAACAAAAGAATTTCCCTTGGTGCTACGTTAAAACCCATATCCACCTATAATGGTCCACAATATCTAATGATCGTACAAATATGGAAGGTTGGTTTCGTTAAGTAACAACAGTTATTTTTCTTTATATATATGAGCATTTTTTTGTGTGTGTAGTATTCATCAAATATATACACTTTTCGTACTAGTAATCAAATACTTATGATAAGTGGAAGAAGAATGATTCCGCTATATTACATGCACATGTTAAAAGCATTTGAAAACGACAAATCAATAATGTTCATCCAAACCTTTATATATTTCCCATTCTATCATTTTTTACGTTGCATTTGTTTCACTATTTCGTTAAGCATATCCATCATCTTTATACCCGCCAGTACCAACTTCTTCGTAATCTTTCTCCAGTGCATCTAACTTTTCACGAGCAGCAGAGGCCTCACCTTCCTCCATTCCTTCCCCCACGTACCAGTTCAACATATTTTTGCCATCACACTGCAAGAGGAAAGTAAGTAAGTGGCATTTGATACAATTCGCATAATGTAAAACGAATGGCAGCTTTAACACCTTAACGTTGTAATCGCTGTTAGTGCCCAAATGTTCAGGAGCCTTTTCTTCTCCCCTGAACCTCAGCATCCAAAGCTGCAAAGGAAAAACCAGTTAGTAAGTGGCATTGGCATAATTATGAGTTTTTTCATCTCAAACTGAGTCAACGCGAGAACATGAGAACCTTAAGTACCAATTCGAAAGAGCTCTGCATATGTACCTGTGAGCAGATTCCAATACTCCTTGAGACGCCAAAAAGAACCGTGTAGTATCTATATATCGTTACCAAAAATAATGTCACTCTATTCAGCAAAAAAGAAGGCCCAAAGTTACATGAGACTCTGTAATTCATACCTTGCTTCGGTTAGACCATAATAGTTTAGCAGCACTCCGCTGTGAGCATCAAACGTTAGGCCACGGGTTTTTGACCTGTAAAAAGCGATTTCAAGATTCATAAAACAAGAGATGATGAGAAATCTGGTAGCAAATGAAGTGATGATGGAAATAGTTTACCATTCCTAGCTCGGTTAGAATAGGAGGCACAACTTCATAAAGCTTTGACACCTATCCAGTTGAATGATATATGTGAGCCAGTGAGAGTTACTAGACCTTGACCATAGATTAAAAAACTAAAAAATGAAGTTACCAGCTGAAAAAGAGGGTCATCAGGTAGATGCTTCAAGGCGAATTCTCTTTGGCATACATATCTTGGATCCGTCTTACGCAAAACACCATGTCCATATCCTGGAACTACCTGCATGGCAAAAGTTTGGTTAACTCTCCTTGCAACATTCTCAAGAAAACCTCACATATCAAGTCATTAAATCGTACTGTCATCGCTAGCAGTCAATATATATGGTCTGTCTTCAGATACTCATTTAAATAACTTTCATTAAGATCATGTTAGCTATATAATTTCAAAAGCAGAGCAGAGCACTTTTTTTCGTTTTTTTTCACCTTGCCACTGTTTAACGCTTTCCAGACATATTCTTTTAGCTGTTCCTTTGATATATTTTCCCCACATTCCTCGACAACCGATTTGATCCACAGCAACACTTCCTGAAACAAGAGCATGTAGAAAAACATATTAAAATTCAAGTTTTAGTTGCTATTACCTCTAACTTTCAGTTGTGTCATAATATTATCAGAAGTTGAACAATATGGGATTCACTCAGGAAACATTTAAAGTAGGTACCTGATTAGCCAAACCATGGAGTGGTCCAGCTAAACGGTTTAATGCAGCTGCAAATGAAAGATATGGATCTGAAAGTGCGCTCCCAACCTAAGCGAATAAAAATCATGTCAGCCAAAAGAAAAACCATCAGAGATGTCAAAACTAGTAATGAACAGAGCCATCCACCTGTAGGGCCATATCACCATTAGCAAATTGAGTCATTGGATGAGCTGTCGAAGGCAAAGCATCTATAGCTTTGTAGACGTAATCTGCAATGGAAGTAAAGTATGCTTGAGACAGTCATGAAGCCCGGTTTCAACAAAATTACCAACAAAACTCCAATTTTGCAAAGTTTTGGCGACTCATTAAACTGAGGTAAGAAACAAACAGATCAGAGATGTGAAGTACAAAGTACAAACCTGGCACGGCCGCACGATCCGCCAACTCTTTTGACAATGCATCAACTTGATCTTTGTTTGGTACCTATATCAAAAATAGGGAAAACTATGATTTAAGATCATATATCAAGGGAAACAGAATCGTATGATACATAACGTTAAGAAAATGAGACCTTTCTAGTTAAAAGAAGCCACAGAAGACCCTCAGGCAAGGGCTCGCCTCCAGACTGAGCTGCAGGTAATACTTTCTGGCACTCAGGAATCGACAAGCCTCTAAAGCGTATCCCCTGAAATCGATATCAGAGCATATGCTATAATATTCTATGACCAAACACAAGAGCCTATGTTATACTCTGTGTCTACGAACAAAAAGACATGCATGCATACCTTTTCTGCATCGAGCAATGAGGTCTCCCAGAGTAATCCAGTCAACCCCCTCATCCCACCAAGTACCTTCACAAATGTTGCATATATAAAGTGAATAATGTTATGTGAGAATTCAAAGCCCTTATAATCAAACAGAGCAAAAGAAGAAGGAAAAAAAGATCATTAGAATCCATACCATATCTACAGTGATTTTCCCCACTGGGACATTTCCATGTTCTGATCTCAGCTTCTTCAGACGGTCCTGAAAATGAAAGTTGTCTTTGAGAAAGAAAGAAACTAAAACTGAGAAAAAAAGCTTTCAGTCTTCCCTAAACCTAGAAACAATTCCAATCATTTAGAACCAAAACTACGAATTTCGAGGCTAACCTGTTGTTCTGGAATGATCTCTAGCAGATGCGACTTCAAGTCCTGCATTACCATTATTTTAAACACCATCAACAAAAATTCTCGGAAACCAATCATAAAAGGAAACAAAGAGAGCATTCTTTACAAAAAACAAAAAAAAAATGAAGTTACCAGCTGAAAAAGAGGGTCAGCAGGTAGATGCTTCAAGGTTTCTCTTTGGCATACATATCTTGAATTGCTGAGTGAATTGCTAAGTGAAGGTTGCTGCAACTTTTTGTTAGATTGTGGTTGACCTTGCTTATCTAGAGCTTTCCTCTTCTTTTTATCGGGATCTTGTTTATCTTCAAAAGGTATAAACAGACCTGGATCTCCGCGGATATTTGGTACGAACCGAACAAAATACAAAGCCAAAAGAAGACCAGGGTGTGAAAACCGCGTCAATCTGAAACTACCCTCCGTTGACTTCGCTTTTTGTTGCAAATACCATCTCGTGCATTTCATGTTTGGAGTAACATTCTGTGTATGGTAGTACGACCATATTGATTCCATGCCGGGAGCATTGATCTCAGAAAATAGAATCCAGGATCTCCCTGATGCCACGGGTTGGTGACTAAGACCTCAACGGGAAGAAAGGGTATACCAGTTGGTAGGGAAAGCAACTTTGCCCTTAAGCACTTTAAGGAAACGTTCCGTTCATCGCGATCATCCATCGCACCAACCACATGTACTGCAACTTCCCTTCCTTCGCCGTGGAGAGCAAGATTCGCGTGATGAGGAGAGCAAAAGGGACCCAATCCCATATGGCAGTTCCACAGAATGCATCCCAGTATCTCTGCAGGAGAGCCCATATTTGAATCGATGACCCTCTGCAAAACAGACCTAAAGGATGATCATCTGCTTGATCAAAAACTACGAGATATATATATAAGAAACTGGAATTGGGAAACTTCGTAGAAACGATGAAAGCCCAAATCAATCGAAATCGCTAAGAGAAGAGTCCTCAATCTGATATTCGGAAGAGAGGAAATCGCTAGATCAAAATCTACGAGATAAATAAACAAGAAAACTGGAACGGGGAACCCTCAGCGAACCAGAAATATCAGAAACGATGAAAACCCAGACGATCAATCGAAATCGCTTGGAGAAGAAGCACAATGTGTAACACAAGGAAAAAATTCTCGAGTGATGATAATCGCAGAGCAAGTTGAAAATGAAAACGTATGTACTAGTATGAGGATATGAACAAAAAGTATCACTTACAGATTACCAGAATTCCAGGTCAGAGGGAGAAATCTGAAGATGAAGAACTCTTTTTACCGGCGAAAGTGACCGAGAAAACTCGCCGGAGATATTTGAGAGGTTTTAGGGAATAAAGATTCCTTTCCTTTCTTTTTTTCGCTTTTGAGGACAAAAGGAATATAGATATTTACAGTTAGACCTGTACGAGTGCTCTACGCCGTTGGATCATATATGGGTCCCATGCCTTTCCGATCGTAACCACGTGGACAAATCCACATCAGATGTGAAACTTACACCCCAAGGGCCGAGACCCATGGGATAGATTTGTTTTTTCATAATCATTAAATAAAATAGTAAAATAATTTTAAGGTTCTTACTTTTTCACCAAACAAAAGAAATTTTGTTTTTAACAAATTTTATTAAACTAGTTACAGACTTTGTTTGTTTAGAAAAATTTCAGAGTTACATTAAACATACAAACTTGTTGGATTTGATCATATATTTTTTCTTATGTGGTATAACAAATTAATGATTAAGCTGAATCAAATTTGAGAGGACCACACAAATAGGATCTTTGTGTAAGCATTTGTTTAACTGAAAGGCACAGCCATATACAACCTTGCTCACATTTTAATTCTACCTCCCTTAGGTTTATAGCCAAGCTGAACATAGTCCTATTTTCAACGATGGATAACAAATTGCATATAACGGATGTATTTATATGATAACAAATTGAGATACTTTTCAATGTAAGAAGACAAGCATAAGTTATTAATAAATGGCTTTTAAAAATAAATTCATGTAAATAGAACTTTGTTTCAAAATATCACTAAAAATACAGTTTTTTTAAAAAATGCAATACATCCAATGTTAAATAAAATTATGGTTTTGATAAAATGGTATCAATTATCATCTCATTCTCGCTTTTTTTTTTTTCATTTTCCTCCGGCGAGGCTTTCTACTCTGAATGATGTCCAATCTCCTGGGGTTGTTAATGATAAATATTTTAATTACAAAGGAAAATATTATATAAAAATGTGCACATATAAGTGGATAATCACCGCATTGTAACTTAAGAAACGGCAAACTTATCATCGTTTGGAGGTGACGCAATGGACGAAACGAAGTGGGTCGGTTAGCAAAGCTGGCTTTCTCGGACAAGTTCGGGCTTCATCGACCCAACCGGATTTAGATAACTCCCAGCAAGGCAGCAACAGATTCGAGTGAAGCTTTGAATGTTACTATACCAAACAGCTTCAAAGGAACTAATCGTAGTTCTTGAAAGGTTCTCTTTCTTAGCTTAGTTCCAAGCTCATTAACTTAGTATCGCGTAAATTCAATGTATATATACACTTGTATGTCGATTCGGCAGAAGACACCTTGTTTGTTTCTCCTGCTTTTGAATTCGTTTCTTTCCTCGTTATTCGCAAGGAATTGTAATTCACGTGGGCCTTAATGGGTCTTTTGCAAAAGTCCTTACATGGGCCTGTTATTAGACCCATTAATTAAGTTGATTCTAAAATCACTCTTAGTCTGACTAACACCCCCCCCTGCTTCCCGTTGTGGAAAATGTATGTTTTCCGTTAATAGAATATTTATTTTATTATTGATGATAGTTTATGGATTTTTTTTTTGTTTTGTTAAAATAGTTTATAGATAAATCTAAATAAATAACAAAAGAGAAACAAATGAAAAAACCAAGTTGCGCATTGATAACCGGGCAGACAGATAAATCGTTTCTAGAGTTCATATAATTTCTCTGTTTATGTATGAAATTGTATGTGTTCATATATAATTTAGAGTGCATACTAATGTCACATCATTTTATAGAATAAAATTTGACTAAATGTACAGTGAGTTGGAAACACAAGGGTGTTATTTAGAAATGTTTTTTCACACTTTCTCAAATATAAAATATACAATATATTTTTCCATAAAATCACGATGCAAAAGATAATGGAAATAGGATTTGAAAAGCAATCTGGTAAAAGCAATAATAAAACTGTAAAACAATAAACGAAAAAACAAGTAAGAAAACAATAGATAGTAATCGGACATTCCAATATTAAGGTGCAGTCCCAAATAAAATTTGAATTATCAAAGAAAGAAAACGCAATTTGTTTTTATTCTCTATTTTGTAAAGAAATTAAAACAGAGAATAGAATTACGAAAAAATAATGTTGGAGCGCATCAACTGTGTACTTTTCATTCTTTTCATTTTTGTCGTTTTGTACATGTCACTCAAAACATTAAATACTTGATTGTAAAGGGAACTAGTCACTCAAAACATTAAATACTTGATTGTAAAGGGAACTAGTCACAAATCAAAGTATAGGTAGGTTTAAGATTTTATTAGAGTCAGAGACTCAGAGCTACAGATCCTATTTCTTTCGAGATTATTCCAAACTAACAATTGAAAAAAAGAAATATAAAAGAGAAAAGAAATTAAAATTGGAATAGTCTAACGGTTTATTGTTGATTTTAGAAGTATTTTTCCATAAATCTCTAGCAGTTTTTTAGTACGAATTTCTAAAATATTTTTTTTTTGATCAAAAATATAAGAAGATACTCAAATACGAAAAGATTTTACATTAGGAAAGTCAAAGTAGGTGGAAACTTTTTCCTTTTTTTTGATTGTTTATTATTACCTGTTGTTTTTATTAATCTGCTCCATCTTCAATCTCTTTGAGGGTAGATCTGGGCATAGAGATAGCCAAATAATAAAAACAGGGAAATCCCTAAAATCCGAATCGGAGACTCAAATTCAACTTCAGCCTTCTCCATCGTCTGTTTGACGTCCTCCACCGGTTCGTCTTTAGCCTCAAATTTATAAGTCTGGTAACGCATGCGAGAAAAGTAGAACCTTCAATTCAATCGGAATAAAAGGTAGAAGCTTTAGTTTTTTTTTTTTTTTTTTGCTGAATGAAGCTTTAGTTTTGATTTTCCTTCTTTGTGGAACATCATTGATGTGGATCTTATCTGTGGTCTCTGGTTCTCCATATGATTTCCTCTGTTCTCCACATGATTTCCTCTGGTTCTCGTACACGTGCTCACCGTGTTTTTTTTAGCTTCCACTAGATTATAGATAGATGGAGCTTGATGAAACTGTTATCGTTTGCGAGTGGTTGGTTTTCTGGTGTTGCCTGAGCTCGAAGCTTTCATTAGTTCAATTCAGAAAAGGGAAAAGCGTGAACCTTTAGCTTCTGTAACTCTGTTATTTTTCTGAAAGTAATTTCTTTTATTCAGTTTTCATTGCGTGCTCAAATCTTTGTAGTTTTCAAAACTGGATCTTCTGGTTTGTGGAACTTCCCTGGTCTTTATTCTTTCTCTGGTTGGTTATTTGTAACAATTAGACAATTTTTGAGCTCTCACAAGGTTACAAAAATATCCTTTTTTTTGTTGGGTGCATTTTGGTCATAGCAGCAGTTGAATCACTCTGAGTCTCTGAGCTCACTTCATGTTTCAGGCACCTTTGAGGAAGAGATTAGTTCTGTCTGTATGGATGCCAAAAAGCTAGGCCCTGGTTTGAGGGATGCAATCAGCTGGCTCCCTCAAGAGGTTCTGGGCGACATCTTGTCCTTACTTCCGACCAAACTGGCTGCTTCAACATCGGTTCTATCGAAAAAGTGGAGGAATGTGTTTGCCTTGGTGGATAATCTGGATTTGGATGATTCTGTCTTCCTGCGACCGGAAGAGGGTAAGCTACGGAGGGAGGAGATCCGGGAGAGCTTCAGGAGTTTTGTGGACAGAACACTCGCCTTGCAACGCGGTTATCCTATCAAGAAACTCTCTCTAGACTATTGCATTTTCGAAGACAGCGAGATGGCGTCTATGTCCCGGTGGATATGTAATGTCGTAGAGCGTGGTGTGTTGGAAGTGGACCTAAGCATATGGACAAACTTTCAACTCTACCTGCCCTCTGAGCTCTTCACGAGCAAGACGCTGGTTAAGCTGACACTGGGAACAGAGATTGGTCTCGGGAAGATTCCTGGAGATGTGTCTCTTCCAGCGCTTAAGAGTCTCTTCATCAATACCATATTTTTTACTTATGGAGACCTGTGTGGTGTGCTTCTTCCCGGTTGCCCAGTGCTCGAGGAGTTATCTGTACGTCACGTGGAGGAAGGAAAGCCGTTCTGCATATCGAGTCGGAGCATCAAGAAACTATCAGTTTACTACGACTTTGAGGCTGACCTTTCTTATCTCGGTGGTATGTCATTTGACGCCCCGAATCTTGTCTCCCTCGACTACCGCGACTATGCCTTGGATGAGTACCCACAAGTTAACTTGGAGTCCCTAGTCGAAGCTAAGCTGGATATCCATTACTCTAAAAGCAACAAGAGGCCGGATCTAACGGGTCTCATTACAGGGATGAGCAACATCGAGACCCTCCATCTTTCTCCCGCCTCTGCTGATGTAAGTTTTAGCAATTTTGTTCGTTTTTAAAGATCTTGGACATCCTTGAAGCATGTGTCACGTGTGTGTGTGTGTGTTTCAGGTGATTTCTCGATGTGTCAAACATGGACTACCTCTGCCGATGTTCAACAATCTGGCTAGTTTGTCTTTTGGGAGCAAGAATCAGCGAGGTTGGAAACTGCTGCCATGTCTGCTTAAGCAGTCTCCAAAGCTTGAAACTCTAATAATCCAGGTACATCATATTCATTTAACAAAAACAAATCTAAAAGATTATATGATATCTACAGAATTATTATAGAGAGATACACGGACGTAGCCGTTGATCCTTTACATGCATCTTCTTCTTTGATTGATGCTTTCTTCAGGATCTGAATGGTTACACAGGCGATGCGACCATTCCTCTGTTCAAAGTGAAGATGTTGCATGTTCTTGGTTATGGAGGAACTGCTCAAGAGTTGCAACACCTGAAGAGTTTTCTTGTGGGATCGGAATGCCTCGAACTAGTGCGGGTGGAGATTCCCGAGTGTGTTGAGGTTGATAATGGTAAATTATTGCAAACCCTTGGGGATCTAATGGCGGTTGTTGGAGCTGCAGCATCCAAGTGCAAGGCCGAAGTCGCAGATTAGATCTAAGCTTATACTCATAAATTGCTTCATGTCGCATTGCTCCTTCCAGGGAGCTACGTTTCTGTAACATTAAAAACTCATAATTTAAGGAGACTCTTTTCTTGTTCTAGATCCGTAGATTATTGTAACCTTATTTATTATAATTGGTGATGTTTTAAATTTTAATTTATTAATTAATATGAGAGTGAAAATAAAATACCTTTTCTGAAAAATCTATTTTAGATTTTAATTTATTAATTAATCTTCTACCTATTAACTGATAATGTAGTTTAATGAAAAATGCTGATTTGTTTTAATTTGATTGATTAATATGTTTAGTTTGAGCAATTTTAATGTGACATGGAAATGATGATGTGTAATGATGATGTAATTATGACATGTCAGTTTTTAGTATACATGGCTTGTGACATGGTATTATTTAATTTATAAATAAAATTTGATGTTAAAATTTTGATACAAAATTAAAGTATTTGGAAAAATTATATTTTTGTTAAATAGATTTGAAATTACATTTCGACACAAAAATTTTGCTAAAAAAATTTACGCATTTCAAATATTTAGCAGAAAACTTGTGACAACCTATTTAGCGAGAAACTTTTTGATATCTCACGAAATCAAATTAAAATACTCTAAAATAAATATTTTTGGTGGGAAAGTTACAAATTCATGTTTTTGGTGAAAAAATTTTGAAATCAGATTTTCAAGAAAGTTTTTTAAAATTATATTTTTAAATAAGGTTTTTTGACGGAAGATTTATGGTTTCACTTATATAGCAGGAAATTCATGAAATCAAAATTTTGACTTGTAGTTTTTATAATCACATTTTTAATGTAAAGTTTTTGGCGAATTTTTTTTATGAATTCACTTTTTGGCAAAAAATTCACAAAATCAAAATTTTGATAAAGTGTTTTTAGATCATATTTTTGACGTAATTTTTTGGGTGTGAAAGTTACATATTCATGTTTTTGGCATGAAATTTGTGAAATCTGATTTTGATGGAAATTTTTGAAATCTTATTTTAAGTAAGTTTTTAGCAAAATATTTATAAGTTCAATTGTTTGTTGTGTGAAATTTTGCGGCATCAAAATTTTAGAAGGAGAATTTCTTCACTTTTATTATCATCTTATTTTGTCTCACTATAAATAAAGATCAAAATTTTATATTATATGTGAATGTATTTTAATTACATAGTGAGAATTACGAACCAGAAATAGGACATAAACTGACAGAAAAATATATAAAAAGATGAAAAATATAAATAAAAAGTAGAAAATAACGAATAACGAAGAATTATTTTATTTTATTTTATAATTTTTTTAAAAATATTTTAAATTTTTGTATATGTTTTATTTTTTACTATGACTCAATTTCTCAAATCTATTAAAACACTTTTTTTACAAACAAATTTTTTTTACAAATATATTATCAAAACAGGTCAATCACTTATTTATTATTAATAATATATATTATTAATAATTATTTTTTTTATAAATTTTTCATGCCCGCACCTTACAGCTACTTAGTATGAGAGTAAAATAAAATACCTTTTTCTAAAATAGTATTTCGATCCACTGAAATTACCTTTTCTGAAAAAGCAGACGAAAAATATATTATTTCCTTATTAAAAAAAAGGAATTTTTTAATTGATCCCACCGACTCTGAAGATTAGGGCTTATATATAAATACACAACACTACAAGAGGCATATGCTCATAACTTGACTCTGAAGATTAGGGCTCATATCGTTCTCTCAATCCCTTGAATCTTTCTCCAATTTTCTACATCGAAAATCGCCACATACCAACGAACGATGTCGACGAAGAAGATTGTGTTGAAGTGCTCCGATGGTGAGACGTTTGAGGTCGACGAAGCGGTCGCACTCCAGTCGCAGACGATAGCGCACCTTGTTGAGGACGATTGCGCCGACAGTGGGATCCCGCTAGCGAACGTCACAGGCAAAATCCTCGCGATGGTGATCGAGTACTGCAAGAAGCACGTCGCGGTCGATGGTGGTGAATCCTTGTCCGAGGAGGATCTCAAGAAGTGGGACGCCGAGTTCATGCAAATCGATCAGTCCACGATCTTCGAGCTCATCCTCGCTTCGAATTACCTAAACATCAAAAGCCTGCTTGATCTGACTTGCCAAACGATCGCTGACATGATCTCAGCCTGCAAAAACGCAGAGGAGATTCGCCAAAAGTTCGGCATCCAGAACGATTTTACACCCGAGGAAGAAGAAGAGGTTCGCAAGGAGAACCAGTGGGCTTTTGAATGATCGGGTATTCAAAACCCAATCAAGTTTTCTTTCTTTCTTTTTAGTTTGTTTTGAAGTTTCTTGATCCTAATAGGGGACTTGCTTCTATATATTGCACTTTTACTTGATTTTTCCTCGGTTTTTCTTTCGATTTCAAGGATGGAAAAACCAATGTTTTCTTCTTTCTCTAGAGACAATCTTTATATTATCTTCTTTCTATAATTTGGTCTTCTAATCCCGGACAGAGTCGCGTTCACTTTACATGATTATTGTTTTGGTGTTGGATTAAGTTAACGTACGATGAGATAAGTTATAAATACAGCTGATTACAAAAGAAAAAAAAAACTGGTTTCGATTATTTTGATTATATCATAATCAAACCGGTGTAAATTCTCATATAGTAAAAAAAAAACCGGTGTAAATTCTCATATAGTAAAAAAAAAACTGGTTTCGATTATTGTTTTTATTCTAAATAAGAATTTGTTATATTGTGCTTCGGATGGGTTGTGACTTATAAGAATTCAACATTCTAAATAAAAATTTGTTAAAGATATTATGCTTCGGGTGGGTTATGAATTATAAGAATTCAACATTCTAAATAAAAAATTTCGTTAAGTTATATTGTGCTTCGGATTGGTTGTGAATGATAAGAATTCAAGTCTAAATGACTTGTAACTAAAAAAAAAATATGATCTTGAATCTGCATGTATAATCTTTTTTTTTTCTGTTTTCATGAGATGGAACTTTTGGTCGATTCCACACAACAACAAATTACCGACAATTTGGTAATTTGTTGTTGTGTGAAAAGAATTCTCTTTGGTAAAGAAGAGAACGGGTGAAGAAGAATGAATGTTCTTTTGAAAAAGGTTAGAGGCGGTTTTTGCTAAACCGAGCTAGAAATATGAATCCGGTTCACGGCTTTTGTAGAAATTTCAATATCAGATGACAAGTTTCATAGAAAACACACATTTTGCGATTGTTTTTTCTCACTTCCCCACGGTGGATTCGTGTAAGACGTTTGCGTTTAGCATCCCAACCGGATGTATGGTTTGTTGCGGTTGCTGTACTTGTTGTATTTATATTTATTAATACGTTTGCGGTTTGTTTTCTTTTATTTCTTCTTCTAAGAGTTGCTCCTTACAAGTCAATTAGTACTTAAATTGGTCCAAATCTTCAAAATCTTTAAGCTTCAGAAATTCAAAGACGCCCCTAATACAAAAAAAAAGAAGTCCAATTCAAATGTGAAAATTCTAAATAAGATGAACAAGTCAATTAGTCATTAACTGCCATTCCAAATACACCCTTTCAGTACAATGATCTAAAATAGTCATTATATTAAAAAAAAAAAGGTATGTTACAGTCATGTTTAGGAATGTCAAAAACTATAAACATAGTCGGATATATGAAATTGATTTATTGACGACCTTACTTTTCTGACTTAAAAAAATTTGTAAAAGTTCAAAAAGCAACAACAAAAAAAGGCCTGAAACATTTGGGATCCGGTTTAGATTTGGTTTACTTCCGGGTTAATTATTGTTTTTTTCCTTTTCGAAAAAGAATTCCCAATTTCTCAACAAAACAAAATCGACACCGACTCTCAAAATTAGGTTTTATATAAACAGACAGACCCATAGGGTTTAGGTCCTGTGATTTCAATCGCTGTCTCAAATCCCTTGAATCTTTCCTCCAATTTTCTACAGAGAGAAAATCGCCACGCAACAACGAACGAACGATGTCGACGAAGAAGATTGTGTTGAAGTGCTCCGATGGTGAGACGTTCGAGGTCGACGAAGCGGTCGCACTCCAGTCGCAGACGATAGCGCACCTCGTCGAGGACGATTGCGCCGGCGACGAGATCCCGCTTGCGAACGTCACAGGCGAGGTCCTCTCGAAAGTGATGGAGTACTGCAAGAAGCACGCCGATGGTGGCGGCTCTTCCTCCGAGGAGGATCTCAAGAAGTGGGACGCCGAGTTCATGCAAATCGATCAATCCACGATCTTCGAGCTCATCCTCGCCTCGAATTACCTAAACATCGAGAGCCTGCTTGCTCTCACTTGCCAGACGATCGCTGACATGATCGCTGCCTGCAAAACCGCAGAGGAGGTTCGCGCAAAGTTCGGCATCGAGAACGATTTTACACCAGAGGAAGAAGAAGAGGTTCGCAGGGAGAACCAATGGGCCTTCGAATGAGCCTATCAAAACCCAATCAAGTTTTTCTTTTTTCGGGTTTCTAGGTCGATTTTAGATGAATATCGTTTTTCTTCTTTTGATTTCGTGGACATTGAACGATTTAATGCTTTTTAAGTGTGATGTTTGCCAAAAGTCTTTCGATTTGAAGAAGTTAAATCCTTTTTTTCTTTCATTCTGTGAATTGGGTTATGTTTTTTCTATACATTCTCTGCTTGAAGAGTTATCTTCACTTATCATTACCATGACTCTTCTGTTGGTGCTGGATAAGTTGACTCCTGAGAGAACATTCTTCGATCTGCAGAACGTAATCAAAAATTGACAAGAAGCAAAATTCAAAACGAGACTAAAAAAAAACAAAGGATGATGATGAACTGTGTATGATCTGTAGAGAGAAGGTTTGGTATATATACATGTAGAGCGTGCGTTTTAAGAAGCTCGACTCCACAATCTTCTGTCAATGATCTTTCTCTGCTACTCACTCTTGCTAATTCTGACACCAAACTCTCCATCTCTCTTGCCTGCAAGAAGTTGAAAAAACATTCATTCCTAACATTACTCTCTATTAACAAACACAATCTTGAACTAGATATCGAAATCCCTTACCTTTGACATGTACTTTCCAACAATTTGTGTAATGCCGTCCATAACCTTGGAAGCAACAACCACTGCTTCAGCTAATTCTTTATCTTCAACCTTGAGACGTAAACTCTTTGTGATATATATAATGCAGAAGATTCTTCTTATATGATATGGACTGAACACAAGATATATATATATATATATATATATATAACTTAATACCACGATATCCGCATCGAGTGGAAGCCGTAATGAAGCATTGGACAAAGCTTGGATTGTTTGTGACAACGAAGCCGAATACTCTTCTTGGATCGCAGACCATTGCTCCAAACTTGGATTCTGTTTTAAGAGTTTTAAAATGGGATAAGCATTTTATTACAAGCCTTTATATATCTTGTGCAAGAGAGAAGAATGTAGAATCTATGGCTTACTTGAGATTCTGTAATCGCAAGTAGAGCTTTAACTCTCGATAAACGTTGAAACTCTATGCGTTTCCTTTGCACCGAATCGTTTAACTTTGAGATCTTCAGACTAAAGGAATAGAGCATGCTCTGCAAGAAATACAAAAACACCATTAGAGTGATTAATGGATATATCATGATGAAAAAACGTTTCATAGAATCAAAGACAGAAACTGACCTCAGTTTGTGCTTTTCGAGCTTGTGTCTTTGCTTCTGCATTTGCGTTTGCAAACCTCCATTGCAGGTAACGATTGTGGAGGAGTTTCAGAGAATGCACATCTTCTAATTGCTCAGAGAGCTTCCTCTGCTTCTTAGTTTCCGCCGGAATCTTCGAGTTTGGTGGCACCGGAGGCAAAGACAACCCAGTCCGCGAGAACGAAGAGCTCTCACGACCGTTGCAGCTCGACGATGGTGAGCTCAGAGATCGATTAAGAGGAGAAGGTACGTTATTGTTGAAGACTTTAGAATGAGTTCTACCAGAAAGCTTCGGCAATTGATCTGAGCCTTTAGATTTCTCTTGACAGTTGATTCCTTCTTTCTCACCAGAGGCCGATGCGACGCTTAACTGGAAAAGCCTTGCGACGGCTGATGAAGCAGTTAGTAATCGCTGCTGGCTTAGTCGCGATCTAGACGGCGGCGGAACAATCGGCGTTGGCGTGTCGAGCCGGTGCGAGTTCTCCTTGAGCGGCTTCGATTGACTTTGTTTCGAGCTTTTTCCGCCTAGCGAGAGAGTAAATGGGGAGTCTAGGCTACGCGCCGCCGTCACGGAAGAGCGATTCTCCTCATCGCCGTCGGCCATTTTTAACTGGCGTCTGTGCCTCTGAGCCGAAACCGAGCGTTGAATTTGGTGGCTGTGCTTTGGAGAATTTGAAGTCAAGAGGTGGAGATCTCCGGCGGATGAAGATGAAGAATATGGAGAAGAAACCGGGGACATGAATCTCGAGCTGACTACTCTAACCCTCGGCCGCCGCGTTGAAGGCGGAGGAGCAGACACCGCCGGTGTTGATGGCTGATGTTGGTTAGATCCGCCGGTTTTCGCTTCCATAACTTCCAAAATCTCTTCAAAATCGCCGAAGATTCTTCACTGTTTCTTCGATTCGAATCGAAATTTGAAATTATGCATTTATGCGCAAAACTCAGGAGAGAAAAGAAGAAGGAGAAGATACGTTACGGGTTTCTTCAGAAAATGATCCGTTGCCTTTGGTCAAAATCTCGACAATCCTCTTGGTCTCTGTAACGGCAGATTAATTCTGCATTTACAAATAGTGTGAAAGTTATACATTGATGAATTGTAATGTGTTTTTGGTGAATTATGTGAAGTTACCACAAGGGTTTATTCTCTTAAAATATGATAGATTGGGATAAATTTGTGCTATTTTTAAGACTATAATTCTAAGAATGCTAATCAGAAGAACCAATGTGGTTGAATACGATTGATGAGGTACAAATTGGAGATTATGAGGTGATGTCACTGTTGGTTTCTGAAATTACAAGTCTTGCTTCTTAAGACATCTCCAATGTATTCCTCTATTTTTTCCTCTAAAATAGAAGAATTCTAAAATAAAAGAACTTTAAAATAGAGGTACACTTCTCTCCAATGTGTTCCTTTATTTTTTCCTCTAAAAAGGAATATTTTAAGAATATTCTCTTTATAATTTATTATTAACACTTTCTTTTCATAAAATTCATAAATTAATCCCATTTATATTATTGTTTACAAAAATTTCCATAAATAATAAAAATATATTAAAATTAAATATTTATTTCGTAAAACAAAATCCAAAATGACTATAGTATTTGTCATTTTCTATAATTTTCAAAATATTTATTAAATCACTATAGTATTTGTCATTTTCTATAATTTTCTGTATTTTAAAAAAGTTATTGTAATTTATCATTTTATTTATAATTTAGTTTGAAATGAATGAGAATTTTCCAATTTAGTTATATTATATGTTCACAAAATTTTCTCAAACCATAACAAAAATTATTAAATTTATTTATTTAATTGGGTTTTTGTATTTAATAACATACAAAAACTGTAGAATGTAACTTTATTGACGTATTATTGTACATGTGTATACTATATTGCTATTCATATTCATTTTATTATCGTGGATTAACTATTTTCATTTATAAATTATATAGTTAATTAAAGTAAATAATATTTTCTGTTTTTCTATAATAGTTATTGTCTGAAATGATGTTGATTTTATTAAATTTTATTAAAGTTATTTAATATTATATAGTTTAATTAAATTTATATGTTAGATATATGACTATTTATTGGATATATACAAATTAGATTATGCAAATATTTAATTTAATTTTTATATTTGTTATATAAATAAAAAATAAAAAGATGTAAAAGTTAAAGGATCAGTTTATAAATAAAAAAGTTCATCTCTATTATAGAGGAACAAATAGAGTTCCTCTAAATATAGAGGGAAAAATAGCAACCTCTATTATAGAAGTAAAAGTAGAGGTGGATTGGAGAGAATTTTCCTCTAAACTCTATTTTTTCCTCTAAAATAGAGATAGATTGAAGATGCTCTAATACTGAAAATGTAACCTCTTTTTAATCAATTAATTTATCTTGGATTAGGAAAATTCAAGCCCAGCCTATGAAGAGATGTCGGTCAGGCCCAATAAGGAACGGAACTGTGACATGTGATGATGGGTTGTTATTGTAAACAATATAATCTATTTGTCTAATTTTGCAAATTTGCAAAAATCTCGAGGGTTTCCACAAACGAAAGACGAGAGAAAGTATTTGGAGGTGCGAGGAGAGTAAATGGTTAAAGGGAAAAGACTTGTATAACTTGTTTAATTCTTCTACTTCTTCTTCTTCGTGTGCATAGCTTTCTGCGATTCTCATCGAATTTGTTGTACGATTAGTGCTTTGTTCTTGAGGTGAGAATCGATTGGAGATGGCGAGCGAAAACCCTGAGGTTGTTGTAGCTCCCGTGGTGAAGAATGGCGGCGCCGAATCTTCCAACGGGAAAGAGAAACTGTTGGAAACTGAGCTTTCGAAGAAGCTTGAGATTTCAGAAGATGTAAAAGAGGAGAACGAAGAAGAAGAAGGAACCAAAGGTGAATAATTGAAATTTTTGTTGTTCCTATTGATCACGTGGTTTTGAGTTTACGCGTCTCTAATTTCTTAACCCATTAGGAAGAATATGGATCTTTTTGATATCTTTCTGTGTTATTGATAAGTATCTGTTGAAAATTTTGAGTTTTATAATGTTTGATTATTTATATACGTATACTCTTCCGTGAGATAATTTTCATCAAAGGAACTATCTTTCTAGAATTAGTCTATGTGAGGTTGGTCTTTGTAGTTGAAAGTTCTAGATTCGATCATTTCTTCTGAGAATACTATTCGTGTATTGTTGATTGATATAGTACTTTGTTTTTTTCTTTCTTTTCAGCTGAGGCTTCAACGAAGAAGAAGAAGAAGAAAAATAAAAGCAAGTAAGAAATGTTTTCGCTTTACTCTACTTTTTCCTTCAAACTTGTCACTGTTGTGTGTTTGCTTTAATGATGGTTTTGATTATGTTGCAGGAGGAAGAAGGAAGTGCCTCAACAAACTGATCCACCTTCAATTCCTGTCGCTGAGCTTTTCCCATCTGGAGAGTTTCCTGAAGGTGAAATCCAGCAGTATAAGGATGAGTAAGTTTTATACAAACTCTTTTTTACTGTTGTGGACAGCTTCAAGAAAAGTCATTTATATGTTAAAGAGTATGCAATAGGCGTAGATTTTGTGGGTTTGTTGACAAATTTAGTTGTTGTCCTTCCCTTCTATTAAAAGGATTGGATTTTCAGTCATTTTGATGTCAAGGCTATTCGTTTATGACCTTTATCACACTGTTTGGTCCGTTATATTAAGATTTTGGTCTTGATCTCTGTAATGTAGCAATTTGTGGAGAACAACATCTGAAGAGAAGAGAGATTTGGAGCGTTTGGAGAAGCCAATATATAACTCTGCACGCCAGGCTGCTGAAGTTCATCGCCAGGTTGGTCTTTTTTTTCGATAAAATGATCATAGGTTATTGTTTTTTCTGGCCTCTCTTTTTGCATCTCCCTGAGAGATTTCTTTTTATTTTCTACTTTCTAGGTCCGGAAATATGTCAGAAGCATAGTGAAGCCTGGAATGTTGATGACTGATATATGCGAGACCTTGGAGGACACCGTTCGTAAGCTGATATCAGAGAATGGTCTTCAAGCTGGTATTGCATTCCCTACAGGATGCTCTTTGAATTGGTTGGTTACTACATGTGCCTTCAACTTTCTCTTTCTATCAACAATTTACTGTTCTTCTTTAGTAGTATTCATGCTTCTCTCATGGCCTTTTTAACTTCCAGGGTTGCTGCTCATTGGACACCGAACTCCGGAGATAAGACAGTACTTCAGTACGACGATGTTATGAAACTGGATTTTGGAACACATATTGATGGTATGACGGCACAATTTTCTTTTCTGTTTTCGTTTTTCCTCTTTTCAAATGTTCAGATAAAAGTTAACATCTCTTCTTTTGTTTTTTTTTTGGTTGCAGGGCATATTATCGACTGTGCATTTACAGTTGCGTTCAATCCTATGTTTGATCCTCTCTTAGCAGCCTCCCGTGAAGCCACTTACACCGGTATCAAGGTACTGATTCTTCTTTTTTATCCTTTTGATACTTCTCTTCTCTTTCGTCCTTTTCGCTGCTGTGGGATCCAACTGATTTTTGTACTTCTTAGCTCAAATAAGCTCAGTGTGAAAGTGATTTCATTTTAGACTTTGACTTGTTATGAACCACACTGTTAATGCTCTTAACCTGCAGGAAGCTGGGATCGATGTTCGTCTCTCCGACATTGGTGCTGCAATTCAGGAGGTGATGGAGTCTTATGAGGTTGAAATCAATGGAAAGGTCTTCCCAGGTACTGATATCCAATGTTACATGAGTGGCCAGTTTCGATGCTGTTGTAAGAAAGCAATAAACCTTAACCTGATTCGTCCTCGTGGCAGTTAAAAGCATCCGGAACCTGAATGGGCATAGCATCGGACCTTATCAGATACATGCTGGGAAGTCCGTTCCTATTGTCAAAGGTGGCGAGCAGACAAAGATGGAAGAGGGTGAATTTTATGCCATCGAAACATTTGGATCCACTGGTAAAAGAAGATCCTGGACATGAGCTATAGTAAAAGAAAAGTCACTGCATCTTTAGGTTTTTCACCAATGATAGATCTCTCTGTTTGTTTGTGGTTTCTGTTGCAGGGAAAGGACTTGTGAGAGAAGACTTAGAATGTAGCCACTACATGAAGAACTTCGACGTTGGCCATGTCCCCTTGAGGGTGCCTAGAGCGAAACAACTCCTTGCCACAATCAACAAGAATTTCTCGACTCTCGCCTTCTGCAGACGTTATTTGGACCGCATTGGTGAAACCAAATACTTAATGGCTCTCAAGAATCTGTGCGACGCTGGTATTGTTCAGGTAACTCTCTTCTCACACTAATCGCACACCACTCCATTCAGTTTTACGAGCCCTTAGCAGAAGAAAAGCTTAAATCTTTTTTGTCTCTGTTTTATTTGTCCCAGCCGTATCCTCCATTGTGTGATGTGAAGGGGAGCTATGTATCACAGTTTGAGCACACCATCCTACTGAGACCAACTTGCAAAGAAGTCATTTCCAAGGGAGACGACTACTGATTCAGATTCTCTGTTTCTCTGCTCTGTTTGCTTTATCTCGTATACTGTTATGAAGATTTGTACACTTTGCTTGTTTTTTTCTCGTCGTGAACACAGCTTTGAAACCTTTTATAAAAGCTTCACTGCCTGTTAAAAACCATGTATTTGCCTTTGAACTTGAATTATCTTTACTAGTATTCTACGTTAACGAAGACCATCCGTGGATTTGTTATAAAAAAAAAATTGCTTTGGGAAAAAAAATAACTTGCGTAATTTCACAAAGTCAAAATCATAGAGCGAGAGAAACCGAACAAATCCACATGAGGAGGGAGGAAATATATACAGACATGGTGAAGATGAGAGAGAAGACTGAGAGATAAAGTTAAAACCATGGCGTCGACGATAGCGGTTTTTTCTGGTGGTCTGAGAGTGAAGGCTGGAGTTCTCGCCGTCCAAATCTCATCGATTCCTCTCCGCCGCGAACTCCCTCGGTACTTCTCGTCTTCGTCGAAGAGGACGACGACTGTAGCGGCAATTTCCACACCTCTTCGAGTCCCCGCCGTTTATAACCACCACCAGCGTCATCGGAGCTCTTGGCCTCGAGTTAATACTTTCTGCACGGCGGCTCCCGACGCCGGGACGACGGTTTCAGCGGATGAGTCGGAGAAGAAGAGCGAATCTCAGGAGGATAATGTGAAGGAGACGGCGAATCTGTTAGACATAAAGGTTGGACGAATCGTGAAAGCTTGGCAACACGAGGAAGCGGATTCTCTGTATGTTGAAGAAGTCGACATCGGCGAAGCTGAGCCCAGAATCATCTGCAGTGGTCTCGTCAAATACGTCCCACTTGATCTCCTTCAGGTCAGCTTCATTTGTTCTACACTACTTCTACTCTCTTCCAAAACTCGATTTTTGATTCCTCAAATGCGAAATTGGGATCGGATTGTGTTGGAATCGTTCGGAATTTGGATTGAAAGAACAATCGAAATTGACCAATGGATGAATCTATTAGGGTGCAGCAGTTGTGGTGTTGGCTAATCTGAAGCCAAGAAACATGAGAGGAGTCAAGTCATGTGGTATGCTTCTTTGTGCATCAGACTCAGCTCATGAGAATGTTGAGCTTCTGGTTCCACCACAAGGCTCTGTTCCTGGAGACAGAGTTTGGTTTGGTGACGAAGAAGATCTCGAGCAGCTTCCTGAGCCTGCACCTCCTAACAAGGTCTCTTTTACTTCGCCATTGCAAAGACTGTTCATTTCAGCAATAAGGTCTCGTCTTAAGTCTATTCCATGACATTTTTGTGTTGCAGGTTCAGAAGAAGAAGATGTGGGAATCGGTTCAACCGCTTTTGAAGACTGATGCCTCTGGCGTTTCGATGCTTAAGGAGCATTTGATGCGGACATCTTCTGGTCTTGTTACTTCCAAATCTTTAAGAAATGCCAACATTTCTTGATTTATTTGTGTTTTTGACAAAAGAGAGAAAGAACAAAGCCACCAAGGCGAATTTTTCATTGCAATGAAACTGATGTTTGTTTTTTTTCTGATTTATCAATAAGGTTATTTATTACGAATCACAAATTATCTTTAGAAAGATTACAAAACAAATCGCGAAAATCGAATGTTTCCTCGTCCCCGTTGGTTTTCTCGAGAGAAGAGATCAAGCGAAGACAGAGAAGATATCACCATTGATGTAGTCGTTGTCCACTAAGCTTACCAAATAGTAGCTGTTCTTCACCTGCACATTCGATGAGATCCCAATCATCATTACAGCTAAACCAATCTGGTCTGACAAAAGAAGAGGAAGGGAAAAATGAGTAAAAGATTCTGTACCTCCTCGAGCAACTTTCTAGAAGGGTCATCTTCTGGGTACAAGTTAGCCCAGCTTCTTGACCAAATCTCAAAGGCTTCGTCTTTCCAGACTTTGAAACTGGCTGGATCCACGATTGTCGGTTGAATGATCTCCTTAGCTGGGAACACTCCCCAAGTAACTGCATTCACATCGGTTTCACCGACGTTTGATACCCAGTTCTCTGCTTTGTTCACGGCCATGAAGGTGATAGAAGGAAACGCTTTGGATTTCTCCACAAGCGTGTCTAACTTATCCTTTGAGCAGAAGAACTCCAGATAAGCTTTCTGGTACACGTAACCACCAGGACCTCCCCATCCTGTAAATTTCCCAAAGCAGTTAAAAACATTTTTCTCGGTATATAAGCTAACATAACTACTCAGTGGATAAAGAGTCACAATGTTACTGGAACACTATATTATGTTATGTGAAGTAAGATATAAATGTATTACCAATAGCTGGGGAATCAGATTTGGCTGCGTTGACCGATGGTTGGCTATTGATGGTCAAGAAGCCGTTGGAGTTGATTTTGCCGAGCTGCTCGTTTATGATCTTTGTCTCTGGCTGGAGTCCATCTAACTCAGACCATGGACTGCTTTTTAAGCTTCCAAGGCAGAGCTCCTTGAATTTCTGGTGTGTGACGGTGTTTACAAGATAAAGGTATGTAAGTGTTTGTATATTAAGGTGAAAGATGAAGGAAACAATTTTTGTATGAGCGCTAAGAAAAGGAAAGGCTACCTCTTGAACATCTTCAATGCTTTTCAATGGGACGACCCATTCTTGCTGAAGCTTCTTGTCACGTGCTTTTGGGCGCATGAACTATCAGCAAATGCATTTAGATCAACGGCATTAATCGGCAATGAAAGACACATAAGAAAACGGCAAGCAAACGATGCGAATACAAAATCTTAAGCATATAAAAACAGAGACCTCCCGAATTCAAGTTAGGAAATCTTATGAATTATGTGGTACCTGATAATCCGAAAGTGTACTATATGATGCACTGCGTGTATCACCCCACCGTCCCTGTGGGAAGTCATTCCAGCCTTTTGTTCTAGATATGTAGCTCTTTGGACGATTTGCCCTGCAAAGATTCAGAGAGAAACCAATAGTATTAATTCACTCTGCATATAGAAGTTTAAGAATATCTATATCGATTGGCCAGACAAAATCAGAGCAAGAGAAGCAAGATGAAGGTTTACCAGAAAATGGGGCGAACGTCTTCCTTAGTACGGAAAACATTCGCAGGGCGTCTCCAAGGTAAAGAACGAGTGATTTTTGACTCATCAATCAGACCAAGGTTCTGCAGTTTCAGCACCATTGTCAGATTCTCCAGTGCACACAATGATGTGTGTTACACAAAGAAAAGAAAAATTAAGAAGGAAATGAGGAACAACCATTAATATCCCAATAGCTGATTTGTCCACGTTCAATGTGTAGAGATGAAGAGTAGTGATTCCATGGGCCAAAATCTTTTTGCACATTTCTGTCGCAAAGTGAATACCATAGGCCTTAACAGCTTCATCATTATCCTTGATAGGCTCCAAGGCAGCAGTGAGCTCAGCGGGTATCTACAGCAATAATAGCATGAGTTCAACACTATTCGAAGACGATTCATATCCGAAAACACAAGTCATAAGGCATCAGTAAGGGTCTAAATATGTCATCCCAACATTATATGATCAATACAAGCAACCACATCGATGAAGTAAACTCAACCCAATCAAAAGACAACATTTTTATACAGTGCAAGCAATATCATCACTGATGTAAGAGAGATCACAATGTACCTTGGTCTTGCAGAAACCAGCCATACGCAAAAACCCTTTGTAGTTGGAAATGGGCATAATTCCAGGAACAATGGGACAATTTATCCCGATTTGCCGACAGTCATTCACAAACTTGAGGAATATATCAGTATCATAGAAAAGCTGGGTCACGATCAGATCTGCTCCGGCATCAACCTGTTCCACGAGCAACCACACTAATCAATTATACGAAAAACGACTCGATTCAACATAAAAAATGCAAAGCCATGACTCAAAAGCTGAACCTTTTTCTTCAGGTAAGCAAGATCACTCTGATAAGATTCAGGAGTAGCGAGGCCATTAGCTTCAATGACATCAGGATGAGCCTCTGATTATAAAACACAAATCCAATTAGAGATCGAATCACAACACTACCAACACAAAACATAAACAAACCAACAATGTAATTGAAATTGAAAAAAAAAGAGGCGATTGTGATACCTGGATAACCAGCAACTGTGATTCCAAAGTAATCACCATACTTGCTTCGAATGTGATTCACCAGATCCAGAGCACAAGCAAACCCTCCTTCGACCTGGACGAATTTATCCTGCCCGTGAGGCGGATCTCCTCTGAGCGCAAGCACATTCTGAATACCATTGGATCTAATGGTCTCAAGCGCGTGGTCAATCTGCACGACCGGCATGTTGGTACAAGTGAGATGCATCATCGTCTCGACGCAGATAACGTTCTGCATCCTGGAAGCGATCTCGAGGGTGAGATCGGCGGTGGATCCTCCGGCGCCCCAGGTGATATCGCAGAAGGTCGGCCCGTAAGAGACCAATCGATCCATCCGTTCAAAGAGATTCTCAACGCCATCCTCCGTCTTGGGCGGGAAAAACTCAAAGGAGAAGGCAGTTTGCCCTTGCTCCGTCACCGATTTGATCTTGTCTACCACCTTCATCGTCTATGAGCTCGAATCTTAGATTTGGATTCAAATCTGGATTCGAAATGGATATGTGGGAAAGAGAAGTGGTGGAGAGGGCAAGTGGTCTCGCTTGGTTCGTTTACTCACTGTTTATATACTAACCGAGATCCAAAAAATTTGGTGGAGGTAACTAGTAAAACTTAGATAAAACTAATTTCATTAAAAAATATACCTATTTGATTTTGTTTATATTGAGATATGATTAATTGCTTAAATGAGCTATTTTAAGATAATGATATCTCCATTGGTTTAATGTTGAATTTGTTTAGTTGATCTTGAAATGTAATACTCTTAACTACTAGTAATAAATAATACTCCTACTCCACTATTTAAACACATGTTTATGTAAGAAACACAGAATCAACCTTATAAATTCTCATAAATTTATTAATTATATATACAAAAAAAAATCACATAGGTAGGTGAGGTGCGGCCCCGCATCACCTACCACCGGCAATGCAAATCCACTGTCGGTCACCGGCGCGTGGGATCAACCGCTACAACGAACACTATCCTAGAGAGTAAAGATGCATACACACCATTTAGCTTGGGCACAGCCCAGGAGAATCACGTGCTTAATACAACTGGTGTTACAAACAGAACAAACCGGTTTTTGGTTATATGGTTCTTAGTTATAAAATTCGGTATGAGATTTTATTAAACTCGGTATGTGATTTTACCAAATCTCGGTTGGTCTTATGATTATATACAAAAGCAGTGTACTGATTAGAGTTGGTTACAATAACAAAGTCTACAACATTCATACCGCCCGGTTCACAACGGCTTTCCACAATTCAAGAGGCAAAAAGGTATGTAATGGAATCAGAACATAGATTGAAGCAAATATCAAACATCAACGAGCTTCCAAACTTCACCAGAGATGTCGATAAACTCGGTAACACCATCCTCGTACGTGACCTGCAAGAAAGAGATAAATTTGTTTCAACATATAATTCGTAAATTGCGATAGCACGTGAACAATAGAGTTGGGCTTGAGTCAAGTGAAGATACCAAGTGTTTTCTTGAAAACTCATCAAATTGTCTAATCATGCCAAAACGCCTGAAAATGTCAAACACTAAGTCAACTATTGTTCTTTTGACGTAGCAGAGACATTTGCAGAGAAGACAAAAAAGGAAAAAATTATTGTTGTACATCTGGTCCGAGGGACGTGCCAACATGATAACCAGACCAATGCAGTTCCGGAACACTGTCCTATGGCCAAGATTGCTCCAAGATTGTCCTGACCGCATCCAAAATTGTGTTTATTCGTACCTCTGAATTGAGAAGCTTGTCGAAAACAGAGCTAAGGAACTGAAGATACTAACCAGCGGCGCGTCTACCTCGAGTTTTCTTAACCTAACCAAATGAGACACGGCGAACTCACAACGAGTCAACAATACCATTTACATGTAAGCTTTTCTTCTATATGAAGGATTTCAATTTCTATTTTACCTTGCGCTGTTTCCTGGTCACTACTTTACTTGACGTTGGGTTCACATCTTCATCAGGGAGTGTGTTCTTAGTTTTGTCAGGTTTCGCACCAAGCTTTTTCCTGCAATCTACTGCGCCACAGTAGCAATCTTGATCCTCACCAAACTGAACAAACCTGCTATATTTCTTAGTGTCACAGCTAAACATTACTATTAGAAATTACAAAGGAAAATGTTCTTACTGGTAATCGTAGGTCAATGGCTCTCCTTTGTTAATGCAACGGGTAGAAAAAATGCCGATTCTTGTCTCTCCATCAATTATCCTTATGATAAACAAAAACAAAGTTAGTTACTTTTGATCAGTAGCAAAGTGAGAAGATGGATAAAAAGTTAGTTAAAACAAACCATTTCTGCATCTCTGTATTGGGGTTGCAGCTGTGATTGAAATATCTCGATTTGTTCCCCTTGTAAGTAGCATCAATCACCATGTTCCAGTTTATCTGACACAAATAGAAATTTGTCTCCACCTGATGCTTCAACTTCCAAAGCCTTTCTTCACAAATCTTTTCGTCGATAACTACAGTTTTGAGTAATAGATTAAAGAAGATAAAGAAATGCCACACAAGTTATCTATGAGGCAACCGAATGTATAATCGCATTTACCTTCCCCAACATATTCAATGATAAACTCTCCTGAATTTATATCTTCATCTGCTACAATCCCATATCCGCATTTCTCTGTCTACAATAAACAATTTCTTCAACTAACCCTTCAAAAATCATTCCTTCTTTATATAAGACAACTTTAAAATATACCAACCTGAACCAACTTCATTTTCTTGATACGTCGTTGTTGGAACGGCTTGTTGGTGCACTCACAGTTGCAATTGCAGCTAGATGAACAGCTTGAGAGTAGAACCCTATACAGCAAAATGCATAACAAACTTGAACACTGAATTTTTTCATTCAACCAACAGTCAAAATCAAAAATCTGGATAGGCCGAGAAAGTAAAAGATGAAGTCAGATATGAAACGTACCCGCAATTGCAATCGCTGCCACAAACATTTGAGGAGCAAGAGCAGAAAATGCCATGATCTTTAACCCTCTTTTTGAATTTCTTCGAAACGTATATATCTTTTAAAGCCAGGATCATGTGAAAACAAAGAAAATCCAAAGGAAGAAGTAAAAATAAAAACTTAAAACACAAATCGAAAAGATACTGCGCTTAATGAAGATAGGCTTCCTCTTATTCAACCGATCCGGAAATTCAAATTCCTCCGATTCCCCAATCTCACTCGACAACTCCATGAACGCCTTCCTTATTTTTTTTCGAACGGAACCCTAAAAAATTCAGGGGAAAATAAAAAACTAAAAGATATTACGAAACAGAGAAATAATTAAAAAAAAGAAGTGGAAGAACACTGATCGAACATACCATCTTGCCGGAAACCATGGTAACAGAACGAATCGATAGGGTAGAGTCGAATTATGTTCGGCGATTTGATGAAGATATAGCAAGATGTTGGATTTTGATCTTTCCAGAAAATCAAGTACGGTGAAGTTACGGAAACGAGTGAGAAGGAACAATCAACAAAGGCATTCAAATTCAATGGCGATGAAGAATCGCTGAAAACATTGAAAACCCTATTAGTTTAATCGAAGAAGAAGAAGATGATGAATCAGTGGCGGATCCGATTAAAAGAGAGGGAAAAGACGCAAAGCAGAGAGAGCGGCAGTTACAGTATCTTGTTTCTCCTTCTGGTGGTGATTTTGAAATTTTGCGCATTAGGCACAAAATCGTTTCTTTAAAGAGCACGCGACGCAGCCATACAGGCCCACAAATATTGGGTTACCAATACATTTTCATAAAATGGGCTTTAGTGGATTGGCCCAAAATATAACATGTGTTATATTCATTATGATGTAAACTTTATAAAGTTGTTGTCAGTTTTTGCCAAAGAGATATATTTGTGTATATATTTTGTGTATATTTGGTAATCCACTATTTAATTATTAGTATAATGAAAATTTGACGCGAAAGATAAATTACGTAAAAGAGTGGAGAGAGAGGGAGAGAGAACACGAAACTTTTTTTTTCTTATGATAATAACACGAAATCGATCTTCTTCAATTCAAACTTCCATTCTTCGTCTTCGTTAATTCGCACTCGCGTTTTCTTCTCCGTCGCCGGAGGTCTTATCTCCGTCATATTTAAGTCAGACTGAACGATTCGATCGGTTTTACCAGGTGATCCATCTTTACACAGCTCTTGGAATCCGAAAGTTTGTGAATTAAATTCGTTCTCCGGATCGGACTACGAAACTGTGTGCCTTTGTTTTGTGGTTAATCGAGCTCAAATTCTTTTTCCCTTGCGACGCTTGTGCTTATTTTCTGGTATATACGAGAGGAAGGAGTTGGCAAATATATAGTTGACTGATTGAGAAATTGTGATTACTGTAGATCCGCGAGGGAAAAGTGCGTTTAGAGTTCTTGAGTCTGTTGCATGATTTTGTCTCGAAATTCTATTAGTCCTGTGGATTTGTTCAATATGGAGACTTTTACATATCGGATTCGTGTAGCTACGACGCCTTCATCTTAATTTATTGCGTTCATTAGATCCTCTTAGATTTCTAATTCGAGTGTGTTCATTAGATCCTCTTAGATTCCTAAATTCGAGTTAAGAATGAGTTTGGGCATATTGTAATGGAGTGTGATAGTGAGAAAAAAACCCTGAGGATTCAATTTCTTGGCTGATATAAACCTGGTCAAGTTTTTTTGGTTTCTTTTTTTATAAGCTAATCCCTGAGGGTTGTTGTGGTTTTAACTGTGTGTGCTTTAGCTAACTTTAAGTATGTTCAGTATAACCTGATATCTTATTGACTCTGGTGCTTGTTATTGCAGACGAAGGTAGATTCTCTGGATTAAGTTTTCTTCCTCTGAGACAGACATGTTGCATTTGGTGCATTATGTCTAGTTAATGAAGTCTATATGCGATAGATTTCTTCCTTTAAAGTGTTCTTCATCGGGCGCAGATGAAAAACGTGATAAAACCCCAGCATCTCTAGTTTCAGATGCAGCATCTAGGGATAACGAGTCAAAGCTGACGTTATTGTCGAATGTGTTTGCGCCTTCATCCTCAGTTTCTCAACCGTGTAGGGAGGCTTCAACATCCGAGCATAAGCCAGTTTGTGCCACACATAATGGTTGGACAGTAATTCTAAAAACAGCTTCTATGGCTAGTGGGGCAATTAGGAGGTTTCAAGAGCGTGTTTTAGGGCCGAGTAGGACCGGTGTTCCCTGCAGTACAAGTGAGATATGGCTCCTAGGTGTCTGTTATAAAATCTCAGAGAGTGAATCCTCAGAAGAAGCTGATGCTGGCCGTGTATTGGCTGCATTCAGACAAGACTTTTCGTCCTTGATACTAATGACATATCGTAGAGGTTTGTATATCCACTTCACAGCTCAAGCTAGCCTTGAGTGGTCACAGAAAACTCATTGTGTTATCAATTTACAGGTTTTGCGCCTATTGGAGACACAACTTATACTAGTGATGTCAACTGGGGTTGCATGCTTCGAAGTGGCCAGATGCTCTTTGCACAGGTCTGCTTTTTTTGTGAGTAGTTATCATCTTTTAGCGTGAGGCTTCAAATTTTATAACGTACGGTCTAAAGTCCACCTTTAACAGGCACTGGTATTTCAAAGGCTGGGAAGGTCTTGGAGGAAGAAAGAATCCGAGGTTTGTTTTGCTATCCAGTCTATGTATTAGTTACTAAATATACAATACTAGGAACATGAATCTGGTTGATTATGAGTCCAGGCCATTGAAATTGAGCTTGTTTGGTTTGAAAATGCAGCCGCCTGAAGGGGAATACTTGGAGATCTTAGAACTTTTTGGTGATTCTGAGTCTTCAGCATTCTCCATACACAATCTCATACTAGCTGGAGAATCATATGGCCTGGCTGCTGGGTCATGGGTAGGACCATATGCTGTATGTCGATCATGGGAATCATTAGCTCGGAAGAAAAGAGGAGAAACTGATGTGAAGCACCATTCTAGTTCCATGGCTGTTCATATCGTTTCTGGCAGCGAAGATGGAGAGAGAGGTGGAGCTCCAATTCTCTGTATAGATGATGTCACCAAAACTTGTTTGGAATATTCAGAAGGAAAAACTGAGTGGCCGCCGATTCTTCTCTTGGTCCCACTTGTTCTTGGACTTGACAAAGTGAACCCGAGGTTTGTGATTTTTATCAAATTGTCTGAAATCTGATCACTTTATGTTATATATATGCACTATGGAGCGGATATGATGGTAGCGGAATTTGTGTGCAGGAGTGACTTATTATTGAATTTGGCTTTGCAAATCACTGAGATCTTTCTGAAAAAATAGATTATAAATTTGTTTTCAGGTATATTCCATCTCTGATAGCTACTTTCACACTCCCTCAAAGCCTCGGAATTTTGGGCGGCAAACCAGGTGCATCAACTTACATAGTTGGAGTTCAAGAAGACAAAGGTTTCTACCTTGATCCGCACGATGTTCAACAGGTTTTCTTTTAACACTCTACACTCCTCATAAGTGCTTATTCAAGAAATCAAACAAATCCAAAAAAATGCAGCATTTGATCTGGCATGCTCTGATTTGAAGTTTGGGACATCAAGGTGGTCCATACTCCATATATTGTCTCCGTCACATTAATATATCTATTGTCTAATTGGTTTTGGGAACTGATATTTATCGTCCATGTGCTTCATCTCACATTTCGGTATCACTAATTGAGCCTTATCGGTAATGGTTGGTAGGTAGTGACAGTCAACAAAGAAACACAAGATGTTGACACATCGTCTTACCATTGCAAGTGAGTTGATTGATTGTTTTAGCCTCATTTAGTTCTCTGTCTTTCTACATGACTCTTACTTATTATTTGCTCCTACAGTACTCTTCGTTATGTTCCCTTGGAGTCACTCGACCCTTCGCTAGCCCTGGGATTCTACTGCCGCGACAAAGGTATTTATTTTACTGGTTTCTCTAGTGATAAGCTTTAGGTTCGGTTCAATTTTTTGTTTGGTTTTGGGGTTTTTATGAAACATGGAAACTAACCAATCTGATATCTATCGCCAGATGATTTTGAGGATTTTTGTATCCGAGCAACGAAGCTAGCCGGAGACTCTAATGGTGCTCCTCTGTTCACAGTAACTCAGTCTCACAGAACTGACTGTGGAATTGCAGAAACCAGCACAGATATCTCTGGTGAGGAACATGAAGAAGATGACTGGCAATTACTTTGACCAGTTTTACTAGCTTTTTTTCTTCTTCTTTTGTGACTTTATCCACAAACTATCAACATTTTTACATCTCAGGATACCATTCTTCTTACATCGATACTGAGTTTATTTGATTACTGTAAAAAAAAGCCAGACTATTTTGAAAATACTCAAAATAGCCAGAATATTTTCGTTGCATTTTTTTTTGTTTCTACACAAAACGTTGACTTAAGTCAAAGTCTTTTAAAACATAGACTCTTGATTTTTCAACTTCCATTTACATAAGAGAGATTTTTTCAACAGCGAATCATTTTAGACGTAGATTGAAGAATACGAAAAGGGAAGACTCGAAAAACCGGAGGGAGTGTCGACGTGGTTCCACTTGCCGCCATTTTTCCCCGCCGTCATCATCATCATCGTTCCACTTTCTTCACCGCCGCCGCCAATCATTGCCATCGCTTGGCCACTCAAGCTTCCTGCGAAAACCGACGTCATTGTCGTCACCGGGAGTCGAATCGCCTCCATAACCACCTTCCACTTCATGGAATCGTCCTCAATTTCCCAACGAGGCTGACTCTGTCGCTCGCTGTCAATGAAGCACCACAGTCTACAACCTCCGTAATCTCCGTCGGATTCAGCAGCCGCGGCTGTGCGGCCTCTCGGACTTAATTCCGGAAACGGCCAGACATTTTCGATCCTAGTCCATGAATTCGTAATCGGATCGTAAATCTCAGCGTCCGATCGGAACTTGCCTTGCGTCTCAGTCCCGTAACCGCTCAACACGCAAAACCCAAGATCCGTCGTCATCGAGAATCCGTGACACTCGTCTCTGCCTTCCGCCATCGGAGGAATCGTAGTCCACTCGTCCTTCTCCACATCGTACACCTCCGCCGACCTGAGAGCGTTCTTCTGATCGTCGTGTCCTCCGGCGACGTAAACCTTCGTCGAACTGACAGACGCGCAGGCGAAAAACGACCTCGCCGCCGACATCGGCTTCCCTCGCCTCCAGCTCCGTCCGCTTCCTTCTCCGGCGGAGAAATCCAGAACAAACACGTCCCTCACAGGCTGCAACGTCTCCGGATCCCACCCGCCGATCAACAACACTTTCCCGGCGTCCTGAAGCGCGACACACTCGCAGAACAAAGGGATGCGTTCAGGAATCGCTACGCGGTGCCACGTGTCCAGCGTAGCGTTGTAAACGCTCAATCCGTAAAGTGGCGTGCCAATTACACGTGGCTGCTGCTGCTGCTGCTGTTGCTGCTGAGACTCGCCTTCCTCCTCTTTCTTCTTCTCACTCATCTCACCGTCAATCGATACCGGAGACGGCGAAGTCAGAGGTTGAACAAGACAGAGAAGAGATTCAGCTTTCCCAAATCTTCGCCGTTCCCGGTTAAAAGAACGGTCGGAAATTAGGCTTCGCCATGAGCGGCAAACGAATTTCATGGAAGAGTGGAACTCGAACGGAACTCTAACCAAACACTCCATTGCTAATTCCTCCGGCAATCCCGGGATTAATTCCCGACGACTCTGAGAATCTCCTCTCATAATTTCCCGAGAAACTCTCATAATTTTCTTTTCCTGTTACAAAAATCAGTTACGAGATCCTTAGAAGCTTCTTGAAACAGAGTAATGAAGAAGAGAGATTGTGATTTTGATATTGATAGATTGGGGTTTGTATGAGACACTCAATAAGATGCGATTGGTAAGCAAAGTGGCAGAGCCTTTTATAGGGGGATAAGACACTGAAGAAGACAGTCCTTTTAGATAACCATCTTATTATTATTTTATTTCTATTATCTGTATGTCACTTATTTATTGATTTGTTCTTGATATTTTCGTTCTCGAACAAACGAACAAAACTAAGAATTTAAACATTTTTCTTCTATACTACTAGCACACAGATTTTTGTGTGTATATATATATATTATTTTTTTAAATGGCAACAAAAAGTTTTCAGGAAAATTATCTAATTTGCATCACACATAAATATATAGGGTGGACAATCTAAACTGCAATTGTACTTACAATTTCGGAAAATTGTTTTCGAATAAAAGAAAAATGATATATAAACGCATTAAATAATGTAAAATGCCGAGGGTCGGTTGAGTGAATCATCTGAATGTCAGCTAAGCAATTTGTTTTTGAAAATAATGTATATTAATAATTCACTTCTCCATATACATCCGCCAATCAGTATATTTTAAAATCATTCAAATATCCCCATATATGGAATGGACCACATAATTTTCCTTCCAAATTATTATTCGTGTTTTTAGATGTGTAAACGCATTAAATAATGTAAAATGCCGTGAAGGATTTGATCTTGTTTGTTTGTTTTTTTTTTTTTAATAAAAATCGTAGGAAATATCATGTTTATAATATTTAAAATATATTTATTCTGGATAAAATATGGTTCTAGAAGAAGTCCATGTGGATGCGATGACTTATCTTCTTTCTTATCCGAACGATAGTACGGTGACACATGGACCATGAACCGTGGTCATTACAACCTCTCAATGTATTCGAAAATTTTAATATCGTACGTAAAAAAATGTATCAGAATTAAATAGCATACTCTCTCAACGAATAACGATTTTGTAAGAAAGAGTCTTTTGCGTGTGTATGTCGACAACTGTAATATCCTCGAGGTTTAAGTTTCTCATTATGATTAGGATTCAGTTACATAAGCCACTTCAATTAAGTATAATTAGCTTTGACACAAAACTAACAATGACATAAACATATTTTTCTGTTCGATGTATTATTTGCATTATTTGGCTCAATAATATGGAACGACTTTTGAATTATATCAACGTTGGACGGGAAATCCTGTTTTATATCGTTGCAGAAACTGGTTTCATTTATTGAAGACAATTTTATAAAATTAATATTGAAACCCACAATTGTATCATTATCCTTCCAAAACGATATTCCTGTGACGATTAATCATTCGGTATATAATTGTAGCAGAAAACTAATACTATTGAATACGAGAAATGAAATGAGCTGTATTAAAAATATATATAAATACGAGGAATGTGCCTTCTAGAAGACCAGTGATATACTTATACGTCTTCTTCGCATTTTTGGCCGTTAAGGCTGGAAACAAACGAGTGGAATCTTACGCCTGAAACCACACAAAAATTCATGTCTTTTGGCTTTGCTTTTCCAATTAGAATATTTTAGGAAAACAAATTTGTTTTAGAAACTGAGCAAAATAAGAATCCTTTTAAAGAAACTATTGTAAGTATGTCCCTCCAACAAATAGACTAAAACTTTTTTTAAAACGAATAAAATAATACTACTTTATTTTTATTGGACGTAATTTAAGCCATGTTATCAGCATTATGAAAAGTATTAATAAAGAAACAGAAAAGAGCCAGTTTTTTTTACTAGATGTGTCGACCAAAAAGGTTGTGATGAAAAATTATTACGTGAAATGCTTCTGAAAAATGGAAAATAAAGGTAAATTTTTTAAAAGGAAACAAGAAAAACAATTTGCTCTACAAATTAAAGAGGAAAATATATAATACGTATTTCTTTCTTTTTTTCTCATCCCCTCCTAATCCCACCTTTTTGTTAACCAGGTACACTTAAAAAAAAGTATCATTAAAAAACAAATCTAAGTAATTCATGAAGTGTTCATTGCATTTTAATAGTTAAGGTGACATTCGTTGTATTTTTTTTTTTTTTTTTTGACAAAGGGCTTTCAACATTCGTTGTATTTGTCCGGCATATTCGTATAGGTTACTTATCATGCTACATATCACTTTGTAATGTTTTAGAAAGGGTTTCCAAATATAGCCATAACTTTATAAAGTTTTGAAAAGTGCAATAACCCTAAACCATTGATGACTTAGCTAGCAGGTCAACTTAAGTGGACAATTTAAAAAGAAATTTCTTACCGGAATAACTAAAAAAACCAAAACAGAAAAGAAGAAAGATTAAATGGATGAGAAAAGAGGAAATAAAACGTGGGCAAAACTTGTTTATTGGGAAAAAAAATGATATGAAAATTCGCCAGTCATAAACAATTCTAATAATATAAGTAATATCATAGCATTTGAACAATAATTTCGATCCTACAATATTACTCCAATAAAAAAAAAAAAGAATTATGTATGAAGTCTTTAACAAAGTGGACGCGCGCTATTTCCTCCCTTATTCCAAGAGATCTCTATCAAAAGGCAAATAGGAAATGGGCAGAGCCCATTCGGTTTCATAAAATCTTGAGAATAATATCAGTTTTAAACGCATGTTCCATGTTCATATAAATGATTATTGAGTAAGATGACTTGGGAGTTGTGGATGTTTGTGCATCTCAAGGTGACTTTCTCGAACTCATCAGCTTCATCACAACCAAGTAAATCTCTTCCATAGTAACCATTGTAGTATAGTGATAATTGTATTCCGCGATTATTCATATAGAGTGGCGGACAATGTCGCATTTTCCACAAGAAATCGGATGAAACTTGTGATACTCTCTCCTCTACGCTTATGCGTTTACCCTCTAATCAATAGTTGGCGAAAATCTCGTGGGAAACTGATTGGGACGTCATCATTAACCATCTCTTGGATCCTTCGTTAGGCAAAGTAAATTCATACTCATTCGTTTGGCACTCCAAGCTAATTCGGTTGTCGTTCTCTTTCTTTGTATTATGTAGAATCTTTGCTTCGGTTTATGTCTCGTTTTTCACAATATCCTATATTTTTTTTCCTTTTTCACTTATTTGTATAAATACTCATTTTGTTGAGAAATCTATTGTTTTTTTTTTATAAATATATATCAAAAAAACAAAAATTAACTATATTGTAGATTCGACAAACGTAAAAAGGAAATTTGTTATATACGTATGTCTAGAAAAGATAACTCATACAGTATATGCTTTATATGATTTCTCATTTTGGCTCATTTTTGTGTGGAAAGTTATGATATAGTAATACTTGCATAGAAGTTACGCAATATATACGTAGACACTCAGAAGTAGAAAGAAACCGAAAGAGTGTCGCCATGATTGGTGCAA